TCCTTCTGGTCCATATTGCTGCCATTGAGAAAGCCTGCTACCAGTGCAATTATTCCTTTGCAGGTAATGTCTTTTTAGTTGCTTTCAGATTTTTCTCATCTTTTGCAATTGTACTGTATGTCTAGAAGCAGACTTGTTTTTATTCACCGCTTTAGATATTTGTTATGTCTTTTAATTTGAAGATCTCTCTTTAAAAAATTCTGAAAAAAAAAAATCTTCAAACCTCTTCCCTCCCCTATTATGTTGGATCTTCTCATCCTGTTCTCCATGCTTCTCAGCTTTTTTCTATTTCCCATCCCTTCCTCTGACATAACTGGGTATCATCTTTCTTTGGGGGGGGGTATCGTCTTGATTTATCTTCTAGTTCACCAGTTTTCTCTTCACATATGCCCAATTTGTGGTTTAATCTGTTCACCAAGCTCTTACTTTCACTAATCACACATTTTTTAGTTACAAAAGACTTAGTTTTTCAAATCTACTCTGCCTTTTTTCCGTGTCATCTTTCCTAATGGTTTTTATATTTTCCTCTCCCAGCCAATCATTTTAAATATTCTTACTCCATAGTTATCCTATTAAGTTTGTGGGGGTGCTAAACCTATAAGGTTGACTGCTGACTTGTACTCACAATGGACTGTTTTGGACTTCTAATCATCTGAGTGGAGCTTTTTTCTTCTGTGCTGTAGCAATATGATGCAGTTAAGATTGTGGGTATGTATTCTTTGCCCACCCAGGTTGCTATACCGTCTGTGTACTTTTCTGAGTCATTTTCAAACTAAGATCTTCAGCCACCTAGGGACATACATACCTCACATTTTGAGTTTCTGAAGGTTTCATCTGAACAAAGATGAAAAAAAAAAAGGTTTTCATCTGAACCAGTGGCTAATCAATTTTGCTTGTTTTAAAATTCTATGTTCTGTAGCTCCATGATAAGTGAGAAAACCCAACCAGTGGTCCTGGGAATTCAGGGAAATAATAATATAATAACCAGCTTTTGCCAGTTACAGTACTTATTAGAACATACAGAAAATCATTTAGTTCCCTCAACAAATCTGTAAGTACTGTAAGGCTTATAAAGGTTATGTAATTTGTTCAAGGTTGTACAGTTGGTATGGGATAGGCTAAAATTCAAATCCAGATTCATCTGACTCTAGAGCCCAATCACTTAATAACTCTTTTCACTCAAGTAAAACTTACTTGAGGAACTATTATGTGTCAGCATGAGCTAAGTGATGGGTCTAAGTGGTAAACCAAACAGATTATTTTTCTTCTACCTTTCAAATTATCTGTGAGGGACTAGAGTTTCTGTTTTCCTCTTAATTTCCAACTTGTTGCAGACCAAAATCTTAAAAGAAATTTAAGGGACTTCCCTGCTGGTCCAGTGGTTAAGACTCTGTGCTCCCAATGCAGGGGGCATGGGTTCATTCCCTGGTTAGGGAACTAAGACATTATATGCCACACGGTGCGGCCTTAAAGAAAAAAAGAGAAAGAAATTTAAAACACTGCATCAATGTCAAACTGCCATAAAAGTTTCCTCTCCGTTTTTGTTTTCATCTCTCCATGGGCTGGAAACAAACAGTCTGCAGGCTAGCCCCAACTACAGGTCACTTTCACGCAGCACTGCTCTACAATGTACTGTCAGACCATCTGGAGGGCTTTGTGCAGAGTTTTGTGATGGTGATGACAACAACTGTGGATGGTAAAAATGTGGCGAAGACATTTCTGACAATGATGGCTTGTATGGGGACAGCAAGAACCTTCTAAGAAGCTATAATTAAGATTTTAGGTCACAGTCTTCCTCAGCTGGTAAAGCATGAGGAGGAGGAGGTGGGTACAGATTCAGTAGATCGTGAAAAGGCTAACTTGACACAAATCTGACAGCTCTCCTGGTGGAGAATGTGTACCACCATTTGCTTCCTCTGTTACTCTACTCCTCTGATAGGACAGGACAGTAGGAAAGGGGCCAGTCACAAACACTAATCACAAAGCTTAGGGAAATTTACCGCAAATTTTCCTTCCTCATCAACCTGCAAAGAAAAGGATCGCACATGCTCAGGAACTAGCAAGCGGACACATTAAAATCATCCCAACTCAAGCAGTAAGATAAACCTGCTGAAAAGTATTTCAAAGCTAAATGACTTATGAGTTATTTGCATCACTATTATATCTTGTGTTTGTGTATTATTGTGATCATACACACATTTAACATACTGAAATCTAAAATACATATATCTTACTATACCTTTTAAGAGTAATAAATACCACTAACTTTAAGGTTTGTAAACTCATAAATTTTGTATATGACACAGAAAACAAAAATATATTCCTATGCCTCTTTGTAAGTTAAGAGAGATTTCCCGGGGGTATTCCCTGGTGGTCCAGGGGTTAGGACTCTGCTCTCTCACTGCCGAGGGCCTGGGATCAATCCCTGGTCGGAGAATTAAAATCCTGCAAGATGTACAGCATGCCCCCCGCGCCCCCAAAAGACAGATTTTCCAGGAAAGAGCTTGAAAGTTTGCCAAAACTTATATTGAATGGACTAAATGTCTAAAAGCATATGACAGCTACTTTCATCTTAAAGCATCTGAGGAGGTATGGTCACAGCGTTCAGTATTTCAAATTTTAAACTGTAGTCTCTATCACTATTAGAATCAAAACTACATTATTTTCCTGCAATTGTGGTTTATTGTAATCTTAATCCATTTTTTCAAAGACCATTCAATACATTTATACTATTCCAGTAATTACCATGCTACCCAGAAAAACAAGTGAACAGTTTATTAAGAATTAAATGAGGGTATGGAATGTGATACAGTACAAGTAAGACACTCAAGATGGATACAATAGTACTACTCACACAAAAAGTTAAATCTCTTAAAAAAAATAAGACAAAAGAAAAAGCAATTCCATCATCATAAAGTAACATATTTCATGCAAAAACTTCAAAGAAATCCCCAGTCCCCCCCCCACCCCCAAGCTCCTAACAAAAAGCTATCTGAAATATGCCATGCTAACATATTAACCACAATATAATCATTCATAGAAAAGCAACACACTAATTAAGAAATGAATTAGATGAAATAACATAGGCTGCAAAATCGTAAACTCATAGATCACGATGATTTTACATGATAAGCAATTCCAGATTCATTCATATGGTGAGCAATACGAGCTAAATGATGAGAGAGAAGGTATGTAAATATAAACTCCACTAACTCATCTCAGTATCTTCTAATTATAAAACCTGGAAGCTTCCAGAACCTGAAAAATTATATAAAATTTGGCATACTCCTTTTGTGTTCCAAGAAACAACTTTAGGATCATATTTGCAATTATTAGAGAGCTGTATAAAAAGCACTTTATGGTCAGGAATTGACCTCTTAAATAATGATCACAATTTACATCAATAGAAACAACTCCAGATAAGCATTTACTGTGAATAACTCTTACTCAAGACAAGAAACATGATTTTCTAGCACTTTATGTACAAGTAACTGCAAAGGCCCAGTTAACTTAGAGACTGAATAAAATATAAAACAAATGTGAACTGGTACAGAGAGTGGATAGGAACAGCCTCATTAACAGAGGTTTAAGTGGGTAACAATCTTGCTTTGACTTCCAAGAGAACGAGAGTCAACAGATTGCCAAGCTGTAACTCATGTCTCTGTACCAAGATGCTTTAGCATATTTCATGGAAAAGTAGTTTTACCTTAAAAAATAGGAATGGCATTTTATGGGATGGTATTCCCCTCCACAGCTGCCAAATAAGCCTGGTCACCAGGCGATGCAGAGTGTATTTCCAAGTGGGTGTAACATGTCACGATGAGGCAACCCAGAAGCGGAAGCACCCATCTCATGGCACCTGCCTATTCAGCAGGCCAGGAGAGAACTGGGACACCCACGTGTCACGGTTTTGGGTTGAGCTTACCTATGGTGTATAAACTGGTTATACATGAAATAGTAAGGCCAAAGAAAAGGAACAGGAGAAAAACCACCCACTCCCATCTGCTATTTTTTTCCCTTTAAATTTAAGGTAATTAGAACAGATTCTAAAAATTTCAGGATTACCCTTCCTACCATCTGAAATTCAACTTCCTATTTACATTCCATGAAAACAACACTAGAATTGTTCTCTAAAAAACAGAAGCTCTTGCTCTAATTTTCACAAAATAACATGAGAAAAATTTTCAATGTGAAACCCAGAGTGTGAGGCTTGTAAAGAAGTGTCTTTAATAATCAGGACCGTGAAAGTTAGAGCTCTTTGGAATGTGTGTTATACATACAAAGTTATCACAAATTAAACTCCCAGAGTATTTATGAAACAAGTTCTTAAATGGGAAAGATTACCGATGAGAGATAAATGTTTCCATCAACAAATTAAATCTGAAGGATCAATCTTTCCCAAGTGACAAAGTGTCTGCTAACAATTCAACACAGCCTCTGGAATCAAATGTCAAAGATCACTCAATCATGATGATTCAAGATGAAGTACAGATGAGCAGTACATATGAAAAAAATTTGTAAACTGCTGCCATTCTAAAACAGTAGATTTATATTACAAAGCAATGTAAATAAATATTGGGCTAGTACAAAAGCTCTTATTTACAGTTTTACAAATGAAACTGTATTCAGTGTAAATGCTGTGTTTTGAAGAACACAGTACTATATTAGTAAAATGAGTTCTGTTGAGGGGAATTACAGTTTCTGTTAGAATCAATGTATAAAAGATTCAAGTTAACTCTGTTTATAATTTAGTACAGACAAACCCAGTTTAACCTGGAATGGCATCTGTTAAAGTGCTGAAAAACAGGAAATATTTAGAAAACACTGTACATTATTAAAGCTTTATCAAGTCAGAATGTTAAAACCCTTTCACATTTTTAACCTTTTGCCACAGGGTTGTGGACAAGATGATTTTTCTCGGCAAAGGAGTAAAACTTACGAGGCCACCAGCTGCTTGGGTGATTTTAGGTTCGGCGGTGGTAGTTTCCTAAAACAACTATTTACCCATCAACCATACCTTCAGGCCTTACAATCTGGTAAGTAATTAAATATTCAGGATAAGCCTGGAAGAGAAAGATTAATTCAAAAATTGGTAAATAAATTTTTTGAATGGAGACTTATTCTAAGGATTCCTTATCTTTAGGGAAGAAGCTCTAAATTAGTGTTGCAGATCAGAATAATCAAAGGGCCTCTTCTCAAAACAGCCTTACGTGACTGCAATTCCTCTGATTCTCAATCAGCAGGTCTAGGATAACTGCTGGGCATGTGTTTGTCTTTAGGAACTGAGGTTATCCTGATACATATCCCCAGTACATAATGCTGCTCTAGAGATGCTTCTGACTGCATCTATGCCACTAAGAGCAAGAGAGAATTACACATTTCTTTGCTACAGAGAGGTTAACTATTAAAATATATATAGGATTCTAATTAATTATATTTTACAGAAGCTTAAAAAAAATTCAGAATAGCTGGCAAAAGCTGAGTAAGGTCTGTAGGTTAGATTTACTACACCAATGATATTTTCCCGATTTTACAATTTTAAGACAATGTCCTTAAAATTTAGGTGTACTTAGGAAATACATCCTTAAGTATTTAAGTGTAAAGGAAGACGCTTATACCTTACTTCCAAGCAGCTCGGGGGTGGGGGTGGGGTGGGAAGGATACACACATATAGTAGGGAGAACATGATAAAGGAGAGAGAATGCTAAAGTATTAACATTTTGAATATCTGGGTAAAGGGTCTAAGGGAATTCTCTTTACTATTATTTCAACTTTAAGTGTGAAATAATTACAAATAAAAGTTAAAAAGAAATCCAGTTCGTAAGGCACTCTGCCTTGTTAATTTAAAAGATTAGTAAGAGGTTAAAGTATTGCTGAAAATGAACAAATAAAACTGAATTACCTGTTCTCCTCTGTAAATAACATATTCAGCTAATGCTAGGCCATTTACACTAGGTCGACCAGTGACTGAGTGATGACCTGGAGGAGAATGCGCCATTTTCATTGCACTGAACTGCAGGAAAGACTTTCCCAAGGTTACACGGCAAAAGAGCAGCTGCCTGTAACACATGAAAAGGAAAAGATTTCCCTGAGACAGGGCCATACAGGATAGTTTTATTTATGTCCACTACATAAGCTTCTGAATGCATTTATACATAAACACAATTGTTTTCACCATTTTACCCTTTGAAAGAGTTTTTAAAGAATATCTTCTACTACTCTCTCTAATGAAACAATTTGTCACTTTAATCCTCACTGTAACTATAAAATACTATCTTAGATTATAATAATCTTTAAGTGATACTGACTCTGCCATCCTGCTTGTATCCCAGCAAAAGCACTAATCATTGCCCAAGTGAGGAGGAGGAGGAGGTTTTAAGGGACTTCCATGAAGTGTCTTACAAAGCTGAACATTTATCCAGCGAAGTCCTATTGATTCCACTTTCAAAATATGTCTCTCCTCTCAATTCTACTGTCACTATTAAGTCCAAATTGCCCAAATTTTCACCCGGACTATAACAATGGCCTTTGAGCTACTTTCTCTGTTTTTACTCTAATCCCTGTCTAAATTATTTTCCATCTAAGCTACCTGTGATTTAGGGAATAAACAAACAGCAAAACCCATAAATCAGATGACACTACTTTTCTGCTTAAAACCTTTTAGAGACTGTTCACTGTACCCAAAAGAAAACCCAAATTTCTTATAATGATCCCAAATTCTCCAACTTTACTTTGTGTTCATTATACCTAAACACATTAGTTTTTCTTCCTGCAGGCCAAACTTTCTTGTCCCAAGGCCATCAGACACACTGTTTCTTTTACCATCTAGAATGATATGTTCTACCACTCTTCAACTGGCTAATAGTCATTTTTCAAGTTTAGCTGAAACGTTTCTTCTTCAAATTTGTCTTTGCTCACCAGTTTAGGCTGTATTACTTTCTCACTCCCCAAGGGCATATGACTGGCCTTCCTTAGGTCCAACGAACTTTTTACTATTTCACTGTTGCTCTCTCTAATCTACTTTTCTTTCTACGGGAGAACAAGAGATTTGGTGGTCTGATGTCTGTCTCCAAAGAAGATAAGCTGTCTTTTTCATTCTAAATAGGCTCTTTGCAAATTTTCTTAGCATTTCTAATATATTTTCTATAATAGTCACAATCATTCCATGATAATTCAGCATACAGAAATCTTAAGTTAATAAATTTATTTCCAGACATACAAGCATTGTACTTCAAAGACAACTGAGAAGAGATACTAGAACACTGCTTACTATTAATAGTCAGAACTATTTAGCCTCCAGATGATATAGGACAAGTAAAGATAGCAGTGTTCAATTTACAGACTCTCAAGAAATTACAAGCCTCCTAATCATTCCAATCTATGATCTAAAATAGAAGCGGGTGGGAGGTCATACCCAGGAGGTTTGGCTTTAGACACCTACATGGGTGTCTAAGTTTAGGGAGAAAACAGTAAGAACAAAACATAAACAGACAGTCTTTGTCTCCCTTCAGGACTTTAGTCCTTCACTTTGGCAGCCCTTCAAAATCAGCTGGGAAGCTTTTAAAAATCCCATGCCCAGACCAGACCCCAGGCTTCCAAGTGAGAATCTCTCGAGGGTAGGACAGTCATTAGTAGTTTTTAAAGCCCCTCAGGTAATTCCAATGTGCTGTCACAGCTGAGAACTACTGCTCTAGGGTTTCTAGATCTGTGATCAGAAGCTTCGGCATCCCTTAGGAACTTGGTAGAAATGCAAGTTCTAGTGCCCTAGCCCCAGACCTACTATATCAATAATTCAGGAGGCGTGGCATAGGAATTTGTGTTTTAGTTAAGCCCTCTAGGTGATTCTGAACTTGTTTGATAGCTACTGTTCTAGGTCTTTATAAGCAGTGCTCTAACCACAGAATAAATCTCAATAATTAATCTTACTTGATTTTTCAAATGGTGAAGATTATTTACCTACAAGGATTTTATCAACTAGGACCAAGTCATTTGGATGATTTTAATAACTAAGTTCCACTAGGGTAACTAAAAGTAGGAAAAAAAGTACAAAGTAATTTTTGATAATGTGCTTTCTAAAACGACTGACATGCTGATATGCTTTAATGTTAACTTTTTTCTGAGTAGTAATATTACAAATTGACAATTAAAAATCATACCACAGTGGAGGAGAGATTCTCTCACCTATTACCATGAACTGATTAGGTGTAGCAAATAATGCCATTTTATTAATAGCATTTGAATACTAGATTTTTAAACAGTCCACAGTAAAATCTCTTTCATGTCCAGCAATATTTTCTACTCCATATTCTGAAAGGACTGTGTGTTCTAATGATTGAATGAGGTGAAGAGATCAAATGCTTGTAACTGTGCTTGGTCTTACAGACCGTTTAAGAAAAATCAGCTACACTTAGAACCAGTGAGAGGGCCAAAACAACCTGAACTATGCCTCACTTGGATTCCTAGAGTTGTCCAAGATAATGTCTTACCTGAAAATTTCAATATGAAACCAATTCTTATCTGATTCTTATCAAAATAAATGAGAAAAGTGATCTCTTACCTGTGGCAAATGTAACAAGATCTGTCTTTATGTACTGGACACCCAGTACCTCCTCCAATTCCATATACATACTGATTGCTTTTGGAAGAGTTTTCAGCAAAATAGATCCCAGCTCCAAACATGCCTCCTATGTAGGCATGCCTTTCATCAAAGCCTTTATGGATAATTGCATTCACAAAGGGAGACCCTAAAATACATATAAATAGGTAACATTTTTAAAACACAAGAAAAGGAATAAAAGCTAAAGCATCTTAGAAGTTAAATTTTTTTTTCTTCAATTGTTTGACTCCACAAAAATCAAAAGGCACTACAGCCAACCCATTCCCATGGTGCCCTGAGTGAAAACAAGTCAGCTTAGATACATGATGGACTAAAATCCCACTATTTAAGGCTCCAAGCAGTGACAGGAACAGACATCAGAAGAAGTTAAATTTTGAATTAACATACATACATCACCACCATGATAAGTAAAACCGAAACACAACTGTCAGCTGGCTCACTACTTTAGAATAGCTATTCTAGAAGAATTGCTAATGTGAATGAATGTTTCTAACAGGGTGGTGGTTCAGATGCCAAAGTAAGGACACGTAAGATTCAACTAGGAAAAACGTACAGATCACCTGAAAGAAACATCAACGCTAGAGTTATCAAATTCCCGGCCCCAAATTCATACAAACCCAGAATCAAGAGTCTCATAATTCACTTCCTATGGCCAGGCTGAATGCAACTAGGTCATGCAATGACACCCACATCTGTGTACTTTTTCTAGATACCCAAAGTGGCTAAAGTGATCTTTTCAAGTTCATGCTTTTCTTTATACTTCTCTCCTATCCTTTCACTTCTCTGCCTTTTATCACTTGCTAGTACCAGATTCCATCTGCAAATGTGGTGTGTTCCTCCATTCCCTACATATTGACTTCTTTCTCTTCCTTCCTTGCATGCATGCCAAGAAGGAGCTCAAGCAAAGACCAGGAGGTACTAAGCATGGAGACCAGGTCAGGGACTGCAGTGAGGCTGGGGCTTGGGAAAAGCCAATATGACACAGCTAACTGATTCATCAAGATCAGTGTCCCTGTGCATAAAGGGACAAGGGAAATACGCTGAACTCCGCTTTACAGAAATACCAAACAATAGAATAACTTACTTGAATTAACTTGGAAAAACCAAAACCATTTCTATTATAAAATAGAAAAAGTCATACATTACAACCCTTAAGTCAATACATAAATAAATATCATATTCTGTGCCAAGACATTATCATGACAATTTTTAGGGTTTTGAAATGACAAGTACCATTTAGATATTATATACTAGTGCAGTCTACTATAGCCATTCTTCCAGGGGATTGTGAAATTTAAATGCTGTGTTTTATAGAACTTTCAGTTCAGTTCAGTCACTCAGTCGTGTCTGAATCTTTGCGACCCCATGAATCGCAGCACGCCAGGCCCCCTTTCCATCACCAACTCCCGGAGTCTACTCAAACTCATGCCCATCGAGTCAGTGATGCCATCTGGCCATCTCATCCTCTGTCATCCCCTCTCCTCCTGCCCACAATCCCTACCAGCATCAGGGTCTTTACAATGAGTCAACTCTTCACATGAGGTGGCCAAAGTACTGGAGTTTCAGCTTCACCATCCATCCTTCCAATGAACACCCCAGACTAATCTCCTTTAGGATGGACTGGTTGGATCTGCTTGCAGTCCAAGGGACTCTCAAGGGTCTTCTCCAACACTACAGTTCAAAAGCATCAATTCAGAGCTCAGCTTTCTTCATAGTCCAACCTTCACATCTGTACATGACCACTGGGAAAACCATAGCCTTGACCAGACGGACCTTTGTTGGCAAACTAATGTTTCTGCTTTATAATATGCTATCTACGTTGGTCGTAACTTTCCTTCCAAGGAGTAAGCGTCTTTTAATTTCATGGCTGCAGTCACCATCTGTAGTATTTTGGAGCCCCCAAAAATAAAGTCTGATACTATTTCCCATGAAGTGATGAGACCAGATGCCATGATCTTAGTTTTCTGAATGTTGAGCTTTAAGCCAACTTTTTCACTCTCCTCTTTCACTTTCATCAAGAGGCTCTTTAGTTCTTCACTGTCTGCCATAAGGGTGGTGTCACCTGCATATCTGAGGTTATTGATATTTCTCCCGGCAATCTTGATTCCAGCTTGTGCTTCCTCCAGACCAGCGTTTCTCATGATGTACTCTGCATTATAAGTTAAACAAGCAGGGTGACAATATACAGCCCTGATGTACTCCTTTTCCTATTTGGAACCAGTCTGCTGTTCCATGTCCAATTCTATTTGTTGCTTCTTGACCTGCATACTGGTTTCTCAAGAGGCAGGTCAGGTGGTCTGGTATTCCCATCTCTTTCAGAATTTTCCACAGTTTATTGTGATCCACACAGTCAAAGGTTTTGGCATAGTCAATAAAGCAGAGATAGATGTTTTTCTGGAACTCTCTTGCTTTTCGATGATCCAGGAGATGTTGGCAATTTGATCTTTGGTTCTGCCTTTTCTAAAACTAGCTTGAACATTTGGAAGTTCACAGTTCACATATTGCTGAAGCCTGGCTTGGAGAATTTTAAGAATCACTTTACTAGTGTGTGAGATGAGTACAATTGTGTGGTAGTTTGAGCATTCTTTGGCATTGCCTTTCTTTGGGACTGGAATGAAAACTGACTCTTCCAGTCCTGTGGCCACTGCTGAGTTTTCCAAATTTGCTGGCATATTGAGTGCAGCACTTTCACAGCATCATCTTTCAGGATTTGAAATAGCTCAACTGGAATTCCATCACCTCCACTAGCTTTGTTCGTAGTGATGCTTCCAGAGGCCCACTTGACTTCACATTCCAGGATGTCTGGCTCCAGGTGAGTGATCACACCATCATGATTATCTGGGTCACGAAGATCTTTTTTGTACAGTTCTTCTGTGTATTCTTGCCACCTCTTCTTTATCTTCTGCTTCTGTTAGGTCCCTACCATTTCTGTCCTTTATTGAGCCCATCTTTGCATGAAATACAGTCAGCAAAAACAAGACCGGGAGCTGACTGTGGCTCAGATCATGACTTCTTATTGCCCAAGTCAGACTGAAATTGAAGAAAGTGGAGAAAACCACTAGACCATTCAGGTATGACCTAAATCAAATTCCTTATGACTATACAGTGGAAGTGAAAAATAGATTTAAGGGACTAGATCTGATAGACGGAGTGCCTGATGAACTATGGACGGGGGTTCATGCCACTGTATAGGAGACAGGAATCAAGACCATCCCCAAGAAAAAGAAATGCAAAAAAGCAAAACGGCTGTCTGAGGAGGCCTTACAAATCGCTGTGAAAAGAAGGGAAGCGAAAAGCAAAGGAGAAAAGGAAAGATATACCCATTTGAATGCAGAGTTCCAAAGAATAGCAAGGAGAGATAAGAAAGCCTTCCTCAGTGATCAGTGCAAAGAAATAGAGGAAAACAATAGAATGGAAAAGACTAGATATCTCTTCAAGAAAATTAGAGATACCAAGGGAACATTTCATGCAAAGATGGGCTCAATAAAGGACACACACACACACACACACACACACACACACACATAGAGAGAGAAAATATGAATAGTCAGTATTATCATTTCTATACTTTTTCCTGTTATGGTAATTTTATTTATAAACTATATCCATTCAAAACATACAAATTCAAAAAAGACTGAAAACACAAATATAAATGCAAAGATTTACAGAAATAATGTTTATTTTGTTTAAAATGATATGAGAAATATACAGATTCATTATTATTTCAAATCTGACAAAAAATGTGGAGGAGGATGATGGCAGGTAGGGAGAGAGGAATCTTACCATGAAATAGCATTCTTTCATTTGCATGGTTGTGGTTTTCTTCAGAAACTTCTTTTCTCCTGTGAGTGTATCTTTCCCATAGTTTCTTGTTACAAACTTTCTGAATCTATAAAAAGAAACCAGCAAAATAAAATCTCTGGATCACAATAACTACTTACCTACTTGTTAATCTTAACCAAAAATGGGCCACATAGGATCAGAAGAGAGGCAAAACTTTCTCTGAAATATAAATTATGTATTATTTTTAGTCAACTAAAAAAATTTGTCACAACCATAAAGATGAAAATATAGGTACATTTTAGAAATTGAAAACTACAGATGAGAAAAAGTTACATATGGTTATATGTAAAGGTAAGAGTACTGTTAATTGATTAAAATACTTCTAGTCTCACTTTAGAATTATTACTAAAACATCTCCACATCAGACATGCTGAGTTCTGTATGGAAATGTAAGAAAGAAAATACTATCTTTCCCCCAACTGCTTTTTCTGGCTCAAAGTACCATCTTTATATTTAATTAAAATATTTGATACAGCACACCAAACAATCTCACACACACACACACACACACACACACACACTCCCCCTAATATTTCCTCTATTCTTCCCTATCCCTCCAATTCCTGAAACTTTTGTTTGGAGAAAAGTTTTAAGATGTATGCTGGTTTCACTAGGAGTATTTCTAAGGTCAAAACTCACAATCCTAGTGCTGCTTTTCAGCTGTATGTAAGGGTGCTACAGCCCCCTGCTGGTCCTAGAACACATTTGGGAGCTGATGGTTTTAGTCTAGGTTCAAATTAACTCAAAATACCATCAAAGACATAATCAAAGCACGCAGATTGGCATAAACAGAGCTCATTAATGTGTTTTAAAAAGGGAACAAAAACAAAAGTTTTATCAGTGAAAACACTTGTATTAGATATTATACTAAAATATCTTTCTAGAGAAAGAAAACAGTGTACCTCCCAAATTCAGCAACTCTAGAAATCAAACCCATATTGTTCCTTCCCCTCACCCTTAACAAACCTTGGCACATTTTGTTACTGGTTGCACACTAAATGCCCTTGACTAAAATCTACCTATAATAGGAATAATTATTTGTTATAGTAAATATTATTATACATGTGTTCATGAAAAGAAAACTCAAGATGTCACTCAGGTCATACTATGATATGAACTAATAAAATACAGCTCCTGAAATAATAACCCTTGCACCTGAATAATGTGTACTTATTTTATATCATCTTATTTCTAAATAGTAAGAACATAACGATCTTGATGAATAACTCTAAAATATGAGATCTACTGGTATACTCAAAATAATATATTATTGTGAGACAGTAATATAACACAACTAAAAGATTTGATACTATTCACCTTTCAGTTTAAAATTTAGGTATCAGAGATACTTGCCACACTGTAACTCTAAATCTTATAATGATTAAGAATGTATCAACGTAGTTAACAGAAAATCATTATACATCTTAAGTAGAGTATACAATTTGGTTGCCATACAGCTTTTAAAAACACCAAGCAAATTAGCAAAGCTGAAAAGGCCCTGAGAAGAGTACCTGATATTAATAAGAGTCAGCACTCTCTTTAACAAATTTTTTTTAAATGACTATTTCTGGAAAGATGAAAGGTACAGAGGGACTACTACTAAAATTACCAAAAAATGGTGTTATGTGTGAGGACTCACAGAAATCTGGAATAGTCACAATTAGGTCAAACTAGAAACAAACAAACCATGGTGTAACTATAAAGATGGGAGTCGTTCCCTGAGCCACAAAAAAGTTCAAAATTACTGAAAAAGTCAGCAAGAGTAATAGTAATGTCCATATTTAAAATCCTAAGCCTACAGGATTTATCATCCAAGAATGAGAAGTCATAAAATTTACTAACAATGGAATGCTTATTCTAATCCATAACAGACTCCTTAATTCAGCAATGAATCGGTCATATTTTCTGAATGTTAACAGTTAAGATAAAGATATATCTTGCCATTTAAACTTAAATTATTTAAGTTTAAAAATTAAACTTAAATAATCTTTAAGTTTAAAGATTAAGCTTAAATAATCTTTAAGTTTAGAGCTTATTTAAAGCATAATCTCTAAACTTAAATATGTTCAACAGAGGTTGAACTAGTCGTTAGTACAGAGATTTGAGGATCCTAACCTGCTAAGGACATATTCTTTCCCAAAACAGCCCTGATGCCATGTCAAAGACTTACTGGGCTGGACAGACAATGTTCTTATGAAGTTAATCATGGTTTCAGGCTTCTGAAAACTATGGTCACAGTGAACTTTATTTCCACTAACTTATTACCTTGAGAATATTGTATCTGTTGAAGATCCCACCTGCATGACCTCCATCTCTGTGCTCTCGGACTGTACTTTGCATCTGATGGAAACACATTTTAAAAATATGTGCATTAGCTTGTGTGTCTTTTCTGGTTTAGGGAACACGGTTCTTGACTCATATGAGTCTTAAGACAAAACAGGTTTTTAATATTTTTGTTGTCTAAGGTATGAGTTCTAAAAGTTTGCAGGAACTACTTTCCAGAGACAGTGCATAGTTGATACAATCAATCCAAAAATACCTATAGGTGAAAATTATATAATGCAAACTACTGAAACAAAAGGAAACAAGTAAATGCATAAATGAGCTAAACATACAAAGCCAACCGACATACTAAAAAAACCAAACCAAACTAAACCAATGATTTATTTGTTCCCATTCATTTTGCTCTCATAGAGCACAATTTATATTTCACTGAGAGTTGGAGTTTCCTGAGATTTAGAACTAAGTCTCACTCAACTTTGTATCTCTGTGCTCAGCTCACACATATAGCGTATGGTGTTCTTCAAAGCGCTGGGCGCTATTTTAAGACTGGTGGATATAAGAGTTTTATGGAAAGAAAGTTAGAAAAACATCTCCTAGATGAGTAGCATCCACATGTTCTGGGTCTTATCTAAGATACTGGGCTTTGCAATTGCTTTCATGAAGGAAGGGAATATTAGAAACCTCTTCTCCAACAGAATTCTGTATATTAATTGCAATGCTGAACCAAATTATTAGAATTAAGGCTTACTGAGATAGTGCATTTTAAATGCTGATTTTGTAAGTTTTCAGGTGGTAGAGTGAGGGGCAATTAAAAACTCCTGCTACATACATGTTCAAATAGATCTGGGAACTTCCGGGGAATTCAGCTGCTGACCCGACACTTAGATGGTGTATGAACATACCTCTTCCTCCACAGACTGAAACTCTTTATCTTCAGCAGACAGATCAATGAGAATTGTTCCACTTCCAGAGGTATTCAGAGTTAAGTATGGGTTAAGACCTATCAAATGAAATTTGAAGGTAAAAAAAACTTGCCAGAACCAACCCACCCCCAGGCCACAATAAACATGAACCCAATACAAACCCCCGATTTATCTGATGCTTATTACTAGTTTTTAAAAGTTTCTTATTTGGGGACAATTTAGGTTTATAGGAAAGCTGAGAGCACCGAGAGATCCTGTGCCCTCACTCCACTCTCTAAAGTCACTGTCAGGACATTAACGTCCCCACTTTATACAATCACAGCACACTTATCAAAATTAAGTACATTACAGACTTTATTTGGATTTCACCAGTTTTTCCCCACTAATGTCCTTTTACTTTTCCAGGATCCAAACCAGAAAATTACACTGCATTTAGATGACTATTTTTTTGACCTTACAAGTCATAGGGTTTTGTGAGAATAGTTCCGAAAATCTTTCTATTCTTTATCTCCTATGTGTCATATGTTTTATTCTTCAAATTATTTCCTTTATTAACTAAGCAGCCCTTTCAGCATTTGGTCCCTTTATTTTTTGTAAGACCGAGAAGAAACTAGCATGGCCGCAGGTAATTTTAAATTATCCAAGAATGAGAAGTCATAAAGCTTACTAACGATGGAATGCTTATTCTAACTCATAATAGATTCACTTCAGCAACGAATTTACCCTATTTTCTGAATGTCAACAGTTAATCAACAGTTAAGATCATATATACTTTCGTATTTTTACTCTCATAAAAGCTTTTAAAATGGAATCTTACATAGGATTTTCTAATTTCTTTGTTGTATCTGTTAACACAACCTTCCTTTAATCTCTCCAAGATCTCCAGAGCTCCACTGTTTTCTCAGGTAGGACTCAAGTACTTTTTTGTTGTTGCTCAGTCACTAAGTCATGTCCGACTCTTTGCTACTCCATGGACTGCAGCATGCCAGGCTTCCCTGTCCTTCACTATCTCCCTCTCCCAGAGTTTGCTCAAACTCATGTAACACTGTGTCAGTGATGCCATCCAACCATCTCATCCTCTGTCATCCCCTTCTCCCCTTGCCTTCAATCCTTCCCAGCATCAGGGTCTTTTCTAGTGAGTCAGCTCTTCGCATCAGTTGGCCTAAGTATTGGAGCTTCAGCTTCAGCACCATTCCTTCCAATAGATATCCAGGGTTGATTTCCATTAGTATTGACAGGTTTGATCTCCGTGCTGTCCAAGGGACACTCAAGAGTCTTCTCCAGCACCCCAGTTTAAAAGCATCAATTCTTTGGCACTCAGATTTCTTCATAGTCCAACTGTCACATTCATATATGACTACTGGAAAAACCATAGCTTTGACTATACGCACCTTTGTTGGCAAAGTGATGTTTCTGCTTTTAAATACACTGTCTAGGTTCGTCATAGGTATTCTTCCAAGGAGCAGGTGTCTTTTACTTTCGTGGCTACAGTCACTGTCTGTAGTGATTTTGGAGACCAAGAAAATGAAATCTGACACTGTTTCCACATTTCCCCCATCTATTTGCCACAAAGTGATAGGACTGGATGCCATGATCTTCATTTTTTGAATGCTGAGTTTTAAGCCAGCTTTTTTGCTCTTCTCTTTCACCTTCATCAAGAGGCACTTTAGTTCTTCTTCACTTTCTGCCATTAAAGTAGTATCATCTGCATATCTGAGGTTGCTGACATTTCTCCCAGCAATCTTGATTCCAGTTTGTAATTCATCCAGTCTGGCATTTCACATGATGTACTCTGCATATAAGTCCTCTGCTGCTGGGTTAATGCGTGGCAGTTTCCCTCTGGAGACTAAGAGCGCTGTTCTGGTCTGAATAATAGAACTATCACAAACATGCGAAACCCTAATAATGATGTATAGGTATGGCTGCATTATAATATCTATGGGAAGTATGACAACTATACACAGGAGGACATTTTATAGAAAAAACACTTAACAGAATAAAGTCTGTGACAGACACTGGACTAAGGCATCTTCGAATGCCCCAAGAAGATACTCATTAAGTGCTGAAAGATCAGAACATGTAATCTGTTGACTTGATGCACTAAATAATAGCCAAGGCTGTTAAGTCAGCAAGGTAAGAGACAGTCAGAAGTTTGCCACTGGTTCTAATTTGCAAACTGGGTATAATGCCGCTATTATACAGACTCTTAGCTGCAAATAAAGATAAGGCAGGTGGTAACTTTATGTAGGAAAGTGACCGTGATGTGCTAGATCAGACACAGTCATCCTGTGTTGTTGTGGTGTTTCTCCTCCACATAGGAATCAATGTTCCTACTCAACTGCAGCTGGATGTCATCAGAATGACCAGAAGACCAAATGCGGCAGGGAGGGACATACCTCTGCCACTTGGAAGCAGTGTATCTGTTTCTATCATTGTTTCCTGAGCCTTTAAACAGTGTTAACTGCCTCCCTACCAAATTCACAAGTGTTTTCTAGCAGAGGCATGAAACGGAGTCTAAGATCGAGGGTTCTAGTTCCTCTGAATACTCACATTCCAAAAAGCCTCGAGTCTGCCCTCTTCTTTATCTTATAAAATTTTGTCTTCTATACCAGGAATATCTAAGACTATCTCACATTTTAAACACTTTGCCCTAGTTCCTATCAGGGAAATAAAGTGCATCTACCGTTAATCAATCCTAATCCAGAAATTCAGTTTAAAGCATTCCTTAGCTTGAATCACCGAACGTTCAAAGTTCTCTTTTTGTTCCTCAAGAGATAAGACCCTATCCTGGATAACATATTCTTTCCTCAAAATTCGCTCAGTTTTGCTAATGGAGGTTTGTCTTTAACCCCAGTTGTACGGCCAGGTCTTCAATTATAGGATGCTTCTAATCTCAGGGTATATCACTCCCTCAGTTGAACAAGAAACTTAAAATGTGGTTCTGACAACTAAAATAACTCATCTTTTACACCAAGACCTGATATACAGAAAGTGTGAACATTTGCTGAATAAATGCAATTTGCATTTTCTTTATGTATCAACATTCAAGAGAAATAAAGTATTATTCAACTTTGTTTCACTATGTTTCCTTAGATGCAACATTATTGTTTCCTTGTACTTTTATAGTAAGTGTTTAAAATGTAACTATTTACAGCAAAAGAGATTTACAACATTATTTTACAGGCAGGCCTGAACATCTAGCTGTTACCTATTATATTACCATATGAGATATCCAAGTTTCAGATCTTTTAGAACAATATAATTTTTGAGCTACAATAACTTCAGAAATGAGTGAATGGAAATAATAGAAAAAACCTGAGCTAAAATAACACCCATATTTCTGAATGGCCCAGACACTTCACTTAGGTTCACAGAGTTAAAGGTAAGCAGTTCAGGAAGCCTAACAGTGGCAGATTTAAGATTTGACCCCAGGTTTCCAGAATCCTCATTAGTACTCTTCTCATCAAGTGGACTATCAGAGATTTTAAAATTATCCTTTAGTAAGTTGAGGGCTGCCTTTATGCAAGCTGCTAAATTGATGATAGCAATGACTTAAAATGAAATACCTTGTTGTCCAGAGATAAGCCTCTCAACTCCTTTAATTAATTTGTGTCTATGTCCATAAGCATTGATTCCAATCTCTTTCAACTCCTTGTGTCCCATCTCAACTAATACATCCAACGTGATCTTACAAAAGAGAATGAAACTGTTTAGAAGACTTGTCTGGAAGACATTCATATATTGGTGTTCTCACAATGTTATTAGACTTATATATTTATTTCAAATGACTTCTGAACACAACACAGAAATGAAAGCATATCAGCTATTAAACTAAAACTGAAAAGCTGCAGTTAATTAAACAAGTTGAATCAAGAACTAACCAAAAACATCATTATTTTCATTTAGTATTTGAACCTGAGTGGAATTAAACTGCAAAACAAAAATACATTTTCAAATTAACCATATTTAGGCACATAATTTTATCTTCTCCACTATCACTTTATATCCAACTATTTATACAATGTCTTAATGTAATGTTCCTACAGATTCTGCATTATGTTAACTGATAACTTCAGCACCACTGTTCAAACTAATCCTTTTAACCCTGAATATATGATTCCTATCTTGTGAAACTGAAGGCATTCTTTAAGATCCTGTATTATTTACAAATCTTTCATGAAGCTTTCTTTGAATAGTCTGGCTTGTAATAACTCTTTCTTTATTTGAATTTCTATGCCAAAAACTTAATTCTTCACATGTTCTTGCTATAGCTCCGTAACTAGATTAAAATTCCTTAGAGGTACAAGTCTACAATAATTACATTTTCTGAACTCAAAAAATCAGTAAATGTACTCTGACAGAAAACTTAAATTAGGACTGTTCAAGAAAAGCCCAGATATATAGTATGTGTGTTTATATAGTTTCCCAAAGTGGTCAGCAATGTGACAGGCTCAGAGTCGGTAACGACTGATGTAAGAGAACGGAACAAACTGAGGTCAGGGATAACTTACCTTTAAGAAATGCATAAGCTAGATTTATTGAAGAAAGCTATTTTGTTACCACATAAGAAACAATTTTTATGTGCTAAGAAACTAAACATGACTTAAGTGAGTAAACAACAAGAGCAACAAACTAAATGGAAAAAAACCAAGCCAAATTAGAAGAGGGATTGATTTCCAGTCCTTAAAAAAAAATATCCTTTTCAGTCTTCAATATGTTGAATGGTTCAGGGCATTTCAAAAGTTTCTATTTTTCCCTTGAGGTTCCCCAAAACAGCAAACCAAGTGAAACAACTCATGTACTTACCTGTTCTCGCTCAAATATATCCATTAGGTGTTCAAGTCCAAGATTTCTTACAAATTGAGTAATGCTAAAATCTATTCCTGGAACTGGAAAGTAAAAAAAACAACACAGAATTTCACATCAGAATAATGTGTATCAACAGAATAGCCAAGTTTTGTGATATTACAAAGAATATAAAGATGAAACAAAATATAACAGCCATCACAATATAATATTAAACTTAATATCAAAATTACAAAGAGGACTTCCATGGGGGTCCAGTGGTTAAGACTCTGCACTCCCAATGCAGGGGGCACAGGTTCGATCCCTAGTCAGGAAACTAAGAGCCCATGTATGTGCTGCCACACCAAAAAAAAAAGTGACGAAAAAGCTATAAAATTTCATCATTAAAAGAAAGGGCACTCACATGTTACAAAGAAATCTTTTCTTTTTAAAGAAAATTATTTTAAATTGTATCTTTAAAATAAGTTTCCATACAGCTTAAACTAATATATTATTATATGTCAATTATATCTGAATGCAAAAACAAAGTTTCCCTATCTTAAGGTAAAGAGACTATTAGGTATATGTGCCTTTTTTTTCTTTTTTGGCATCACCACGTGGCTTGCAGGATCTTAGTTACCCAATTATGGATTGAAACAAGGCCCATGGCCATGAAAGTGTCAAGTCCTAACCACTGGACTACCACAGAATTTCTTTCCTTTTCTTTAAAAAAAAAAAACCCAAAACTCAAAATTATAATACACTGGAAGAGACAAATAAAGCCATAGTACTCAACCAAAAGCATTTCTATAGCTTTCAAAAAGTATGTTTACATCTAAAGAGTAGGTTAGCATTAGAACCTCATCAAGTCTGAACGTGGAGGGAAAAACTTTCATTAGAATTTCAATAATAATATTAAAAATTACTTTTCAGCAATCCAATATCAGTTATTTTGGCTGAATGTCTCACCTTCCTTTTTCTCCAAACTGGAAGCACCCTCTGTTCCACTTGAACTGACTACTGAAGATAGTTCAGAAAAACTGCCAGATAAGTTGTCAAGACTGCTGGCTGCAGAAAGGCTTGATGGGCTGGATGGACCTGAAGACAGAGCATCTGCAGTGGCACCTGGGCTTCTCATGCCATTGAGCACTTGAGGTTTGTAACATGAAGGCAGAGCAGAAGGGGGCATGGCTGCTGTCAGGAGAGCACTGACATCATCTGCCTGGAGTACATGTCAGAGAGAGAGGAAATCCACAGTAAGCAGGTTGTAAAACTCTACTATACCCAACAGAATGCATTAAAAAAAAAAAAGACAAAACCCGAGCAGATTTGCACTAGAATTGCTTATATAAAAATGATTATTTTTAAAAGTGAAGCAAATAAGTTATATTCAGCTAAATTGTTATTAATTGTGAAACATAATATAGAACACATACTCTGAGGCATACAAAATAAAAGTGTAAGATGTGGCAAAGCAAGAAAAAAAATCCTAAGATATCATGATTGATGTACTGAAATTAATTTTAGAAATATAAACTTTAAAAAGTAAGATCTGAAAACTTTTAAAGGCGTTCTGAAGTAATTCAATCTATGCAGAACTTTAGCAAACAGAATGATGGTTGATTTTTTGGGGAAAACTTTCAGCAACATGTTTGTTTCTCAAAATTGAACATTTGGAAGGGTAGAGAATAAAGATATAATTTTAATCAAATATGCCAGAATGGAAAAAAATCCCCAAATTTACTGGTATATTAATTTAATTAGTAACAAATACTATTCTTTCGGTGGCTCAGTGGTGAAGAATCCGTCTGGCAAGCAGGAGATGTGGATTCGATCCCAGGGTTGGGAATATCCCCTGGAGAAGGAAATGGAACCCACTCCAGTATTCTTGCTTGGGAAATCCCATAGACAGAGGAGCCTGGTGGGCTACAGTCTATACGGTCCCAAAAGAGTCAGACATGACTTAGCAATTAAACAACAACTATTCTTTTACAATGCTCAATTAAGACACCAAGTAATTAACATTCAGCAAGAAGTAAATCAGTACTTGTTTTCATGGCTTGTCATTTATACTACCTTTTCAATCCTTACCTTCTTTCCCTGAATCTGAGGACTCCCATGACACTCATAGCTGGTATGTAACACTTAAAAATAATAATAGCACAATTTACTGGATACTTCTTATGTACCTGAGAGCATGAGGTACATCCCCTCATTTAATTCTCATATTAACCAAATACATTTTACCTCCATTAACAGATTAGGTAACTGAGGCTTTGAGGTTAAGCAACCTGCAAAACCATACAACTGTTAAGTGGTAGAGCTAGAATTCTAAGGCAGGTCTGTTTGACTCTAAAGCCCAAGCATGTTAGCTAGGGCATCCTGTTTCAATGTCACTTAATTACATCTAGTGGACGAACTCATGGGTGGACTGAATGAAAGAAAGTTCACTTCTAAGTTAGTTTGGAACTGGAAGGACATTTCCCTTAAGAAATAATCCTGCAAATACAGTTGAGCTGTCAGCTTCTTAGAAAATTCTATCCAACCAGCTGAACTAAATTTCATGAAGCACCCTGCCTGCTTGTTTCCCAACTAATGTAAGCAGTATACCTTATACTTCTCTTTCCCATTTCTAAAAATACTCAGCTTACAATAACTGATAATTCTACTATTTACTTACTATATTTTAATACCAAAGAGATCCAAAATTTAAACCAAGCTAAAAGCCAGATTTTGCCACATTCACCATGAAGACATTATATATATATACACCAAGGGAATTTTTAAAACATCAGGAAAGCACTGAGATTTTTTCAAAGATCCCATCACTTACTGAAACTAAATCTAAAGGTGTTTGTCCTTCCTGATTTTTAAGCGTTGGATCAGCTCCATGGGCCAACAGTAATGCACAAAGCTGTGTTCGTCCCTTCTGGGCTGCCTCGTGCAAAGGTGTGAAAGCCCATTTGTCCGTAGCATTGACACATGCATTATATTTTATTAGTAAAGCTGCTACATCTACATGCTGTAAAAGAAAACCAACTTATTACAGTCTGAATTATTACTTTATCATATTTTAGTTCTTAAAAAGACACTAGCTATACTCTAGAAATGAAAAAACGTGCTTTTTCCCCATCAAAATTTATGGGCTATTGATTAAAAATTACAGTGGTAGACATTTACATAACTTGAGAAAATATCTAGAAAATAGATAAGAATACTACACAGAAAGAAACTAAATTAACAGAACTTTAACAATATCTCATTTAAGTGTTATAACTGCTAAACATCAATTTATAAACCGGCAGCCTTCCTTAATTAATCAACTGAAGATGGTCAATACTGATGGTTAATATTCAAGGCTATTAAATATAAGTCAGAAACAATGCATCTGATCTCAACAGATTTGTATGAATCCCAGTGGATTTTCTGGGTACCAACAAATAAACAAAATCACTAACATCTCACTGAAAAGAAGAGATGTGTGCTAAGGAAGGTGAAACAATGAAAGACAAAATGTCCCATGTCACACAGCAAGCTCCCAGCAAGCTCCCACAGACTGAGAATTGAAACTTAGAAGTTATTTAATCTTTAGCGCTCATATTTATTCTCTGTAAAATGAGAAAGTCAAACTAAATTTCCTTTGAATTGTAATACTGATTTTCACTGAGAAAACTTCTAACATTTTAAAAGCTAACATGAAAGAACTTACGCCATAAGATGCTGCATTGTGTAAAGGAATAAGTCCTCCTTTGTCCTGAGCATTTACATCAGCTCCATGTTGTAGGAGATACTCTGCAACTTCTAAATTATTATAACCAGCTAATTTAGAAAAGAAGTAAAATTACTTTTACTTGTTAATATAAAAATAGCTACACACACACATATATATATATTTCTAAAAGATAGGATTTTTAAAATAAGAGCTTTTATAGAAATCTGAAATTTTCCAATGGAATCTATTAAAGATTTAGCTTATGAAAAAAAATTGCCCCCTGGACTCAAGTTGGACGTTTTCAGTGATGAAATTCATTTCTTTTTGAGATTCTAAAGTTATATTGCTTGATTTACTTAAATCGTCCCTTTTAAAACCTTCTTAACAAAGTCCCTGCCTTCATGGTTATTGTATACACAACTTCCTGACCTCAGGTAAATGGTCTCAAGGCTGCAAGTAAAAGGCATCCTAAAAGCAAAGTTAGGAACAGAAGTGGCTGGCAGAGCAGAAGACAACATATCAGTGGGTCTCGGGGTCCCATTTCCTCAGAAGGTCACAAAGACATGTTTTTTGCCAGAGAGAATATAAGGGTACACATCTCTACTGGCAGCAGAATCTACTGCTGCTAAAGCCATGAAGTAGCAAAACTGAGTATTTTATAAATGTACTATAATGCCCCAGCTGTCATCTTGGGAACCGACAGCTATCTTAGTATGTGTTCTTGGTAAAAAAAAAAAAAGAAAAAAAGTATGTATTGATATATTGTATTTGACACATAATCATAGTTTGAAAGCAAATCTGGAATTTAACTTTGCCAACATAAAATCAGCTATCACTTGAAACTTTACAATAGTTCAAAATATATAATTCATTCACTTTTACTGCAGTTTTCAGCCTTTTGCTGAGACATCTAAAGCAAAAAAAAAAAATTAAGTAAGATCAAGAAAAACAAAACTACCATAAGGTAAATACACCAAATTCAAAAGTCCTTCCATGTCTCAAAGCGTAATACTATGTAAGTGAGAAACGTTTTGTGTGTAAAATGTATTTGCCACTTACAAAGATAACACACACTTACAAAGTAATACTCAGTGTTCAAGATAAGCTACCATAAAGATTCAAAGCCTATGTAAGTAATTATGCATGGCACAATCCAAATCAGAGATCAGGCCACATTTTGTCTTACATGGACTACTAACTCCTGATTGCCAGAGGAAGAAAAGTCTTACCTCGCTTTGTTAGCATTTGTGGTTTATCACTTCCAAAATGCTCTAAAAGACACATAGATGGAGTAATTCTTTCCCTTGACCTGTGGGTTCCCAACTCACACAGGGTCATAATTTAAAGGTATAAACCACAAACACTAAAATCTCTTATGGGACTTAGCTGGTGGAAATGGCTGGGACTCTGTGCTTCCATTGCAGGGGGCCTGGGTTTGATACCTGGTTGGGAAACTAAGATCCTGCATGCCACGCCGCCAGGCATGGCCAAAAAATAAACAAAAAATTCCCTAGGAACATAGTTGCTCACAATGTGAGACTGAAAGGAAGTGACAGAAGAGAACTTCCCACATTACACAAAGTGGCAGAAACACCTGCATTCCTTTTTTCTCTTTTTAAACCATGTATATTTATACTAATCTGTATGGGTCAAACATGCCTATGAAGCAACTCCACTAAAAGACTAGTAGCTCAGTGATTTTAATGACCCACTCCCTAGCAACTTTTTCTTCTTTTTTTAAAAGGTATATGCATTTTTATTTAAAAAATATTATTATTTTTTGGCCACGAGGCATGTGGGATCTTAGTTCTCTGATCTGGGACTGAACCCATGCCCCTGCAGTGGAAGCAGTCTTAATCTCTAGACTGCCAGGGAAGTCCTGCCAGCACCTTCAATGCAGTTCAGAAAGTTGTACTGAAATCACAATGCTGCACCACATGCAATGAAGACAAAGATACACTGTGCCAGCTTCATGAGTGAAAACTCAGAACAAATGTTAGGTATTCTACTATATCCCCCAAATTTCCTATGGTGAAGCCCTAATCATTAATACCTTAGAATGTGACTGTACTTGAAGATAAGGCCTTTTAAGAGGTAATTCAGTTAAAACAAGGCTGTGAGGTCAGCTCTAATTCAACATGACTGCTGTCCTTGTAAGAGGAGGAAGTTAGGACACAGAGACACCAGGGATGCACATACACACAGAAAAGGCCATGTGAGGACTCAGAGAGAAGGTGGCCATCTGCAAGCCAAGGACTGAGGCCTCAGAAAACCCAATTCTGCCAACATTTCCAAAGCTGAGAAAATACATTTCTGTTGTTTAAGCCACCTAGTCTGTGGTAATTTGTTAAGGCAGGCCTTACAAACTAATACAACAAATAACAAGAATTATATGTAACTTTTGGAAGTCTAAAGACTTTTTTCTGCTTCCGTTTAACAACTATCATTAGAAGAATGGAAAATTTTAACTTCCCATCAGGAAGGCTGACTCAAGCAGGCATATTTTCAAAGCTTCTACAGCGAAAACACATTCACCAAAGATGATTCAAACAACATGATGACCTGGAATAAAGGTTCTAAAGCACACGGAGACTGGCAAAGCCTCTTTCAATTATTCTTACTGAATGTAAATCGCTATACTGTAGAGAACACGGCCCTGTATAATGGTATTAGAAGACACCTGATTCAAATCTTTCAAATTTACTTACAGGAAATATTTTACTCAGGTAAAATGAATCTTAGATGTACCAGCCTAAGTCTGTGACATTTCATTCACCTACCTGCTAAATGTAAGGGTGTTGAATGTCGGCCTTGTGTATCACGGCAATTTACATTATCTGGTGAAGACAACTTCTTTACTCTGGCTAAACAACCCTTCTTGGCAGCATCCAATAAAGCTGCATCTCCCCTAAGTAGATCTTGAATATCTGTATCTCCATCTTTAACCAGATCTAAAGGAGTATTTCCATCTCTGTTTTTCTTTGTGGGGTCTGCACCATGCTGGGCATGTGAAAAACAGAAAGGGAAGGTTTAGCTTAAGTTTGCCTTTGGATGATGAGAAAATAGTTAATCTATTTTATACAGAGACTCTACCTTAAAGGTTAACATGACTGTTAATAATGCTTAATACACAAAAAATTACAATAAAAAATAGACACTTAAATATTATGGAGCTTTAATTAATGCAAGAATATAACCAAAACTTTAAACTACATTCAAAACAAAACAGTATTTCACTAAAAATTACCGTTCACATATGCTATTTTTAGTTTTCACAAACATTTCAATGTTTGCATAAAGTATAAATTTAACTATAGTCTTATTTTATTGTAAAATACCTACACTGGTACCAGTGCAGACACCAATATACTATCAATTTCATTAGTGCTAAATAAACCATAGTGTTCATGACATTTATTCTGAAATCTAGGTACAGAATTAGAGTTTTGCTTCCTATTCCTTTAAGATTAAAGTTTGGAGTTACAAGTAATATAATAAACATATTCTATGTTATATACCCTGTCCATAAATACTTAAATATACCTGAAGCAGAAGTTTGCAAATTTCATATTTTCCTTTGGCTGCAGCTTCATGTAAAGGTGTAAATTTCCATAAGTCAGCTACATTAACTACTGCTCCATGCTTAACAAGAAGTTCTGCAACTTCATAATGTCCGTAAGAACACGCATTGTGCAAAGGTACAAGGCCTCTGAAATGAAAAGTTAAATAAAAAACAAAACACAAAGATATATTTTAATTTAAATAACCACACAGAGATGATAAACTTCTTGAATTGTACAAGAAATTTTACTGATTTTAATTTACAGAACCCAAATTTATTGTAAGCAGAAATGGAATTACTTTGGCAGGGGCAGAGAGGAAATTTTATTTTTTTATTTTTATTTTTTGAAATTTTAAAAATACTTAAAATTGCAGAGAACATAACAAGCATCTATTTTGCAATATGTAGGATTAAGAATTATATATTTTTATTTATTTTTTTTTTTCTCTTTTGGCCACAGGGCACAGTTTATGGGATTTTAGTTCCCTGACCAGGGACTGAGTTGAACCTGGGGCCATGGCAGTGAGATCCACTGAACCAACAGGGGATCCCCAAGAAGTATTTTTTTTTTAATTAATATAAACTGGAAGAAATAAAGTATCCTCAATGCAAACTAAAATATTTACTACATTAAAAATCAGTATCACACTATTGTTGCAATCTCCTTGGCTATTATAAAATAACAAGGCATTAAGCAACTAAGTCTTCATAAAAATGCTACTTCATAAAAATCATAAAATCTTAACTGAAATTAAGAAGTATACTTAAGCCAAAGTTAGAGAACAGACTTCTGTGAAAATAAAAGAACCACCATCTCATAAAAATTTCCGATTTTCCTAAGAGGGTCAGATAAAGGCACAGAGAGGCCACAGCAATGGCTAGTACTTGCCCTTTATCTTTAGCGTGCACATCAGCTCCGTGCTGCAGCAGATATTCCACCACAGACACCCGATTATAGCCAGCTGCAAAATGGAGCGGTGTAGACTGACGCCCTTCAATGTCTCTGCAGTTGACACTCTGAACAGTACACAGTTTCTGTAGGATGCAACACAGTATACACATGATGCTACATATTCTGACTTCTTGCTTTCATTCATCTAGTAGAAATTTCAAATGCCTGATTTATTTTGTCTCATCAAATTTCTCAGACACTCTTTGCTATTTATTATTTCATCTTGTCCTTTATTGGCAATCCCTCTGGTCCTCTTATCTGTAATCATCTTCTTTTGCTAAAGCTAGTGGGTAAATTTTATTATTACCATTACTACTATTTACATAAAGGTAATGTAAGTAGCAGTAAGCAACAGTAATTTCCATTTTGTGGCAAATATATATACAGATACACTGGATCATAGAAGCATTGGCATCACCTGGGAACTTGTTAAAAACTCAGATTCTCAGACGCTCTGACCTACTCAATCAGACTCTGCATTCTGACACGATCTCTAGGTGATCTGTAAGCACATTAAAAATCTGAGGAGTACTGTTCTAGAACAGTGGTTCTTAAATTTTCATGTGCATTGGGTCCAGCCTCCAGATGTCTGGGACTGGGCCTGAGAAGTTGCCTTTCTAACAAGTTCCCATATGATGCTGATGCTGACTGTCAAGGAATTACACCTAGAGAATTATACTGTACTATATGGAATGAATTAATTAATAGATTGCTATTGGCTATGTACCATCCTTGGGAGAGTTAAGAAGTCACTCAGAAGTTTTTACATTTTTTTTGTTTGTTTTTGTTGTTCTGATGAGAAGTCTGGCTGAGAAAAGCTGTAACACTCAAAATACTCAAGGGTATTTTGCATGAAAAGTATGAATATTTGAGGAAAGAAAGCAGCACAGATAATAAATCATGGTGTTTAAAAAAAAGTCAAAAGAATATTTTAGTAAAAAGACTATTAGTAAAAATCCTTTCTCTTTTTTACTAGCCTACCCTAAAAGCAGAGATAAGCTAAGCCTAATAAACCAAAGGAGCCAGGGATCAGTGGTTTTACCGCAACGGGTTTAATAACAGGTCTGATAAAGCTATTCAGTTGCTTTCCACACGAAAGCTTGTTAGATACACACATTCAGTGTTCTATCACTGAGAAAGGGTGTTTTGTGGGTCTGAAGTCAGCTCTAGGGAATAAGTATTTTCAACATGTGTAAAGTGTTGCTGCTAGATTCAGTAGTTATCACTGGCCACTCTAACTCCCTAGCTCTCAAGTTTAACTCTGTCCATTCAGAGCAGTTTTCTAGTAGTAGGTGTCTAAGTATCTAGCCTGACAGCTCACCAGTAGACACACACAACCAAGCACATAATTAAGTGCTCACTGGGAAACATGCAGGGGTGGTGTCTCAGTGATTCACACCAAGATGCCTGTCTACAGATACACAAGGAATAGAAAGGTTGATGGAGATGAATTTTCAGTAAGTGACTTTAAAAGTAGAGGTAAGGGAAGACAGCCTAATGCCTATCACAGGGAGAGAGGACGGTCCTCCTTAATTAAATGGCATTATTTCATTCTCTAAATACAATTACTGCACCCAGTCTCATCCTCACTTCATCTGTTTCTTCCTATGGTCTTCTTTTATCTTTATGAAAACAAAGTCTGGTTTTTAATAGTAGGCATACTGAACACAGCTTTATGCTCTTTAATATATGTAAATGGATGAGCATTACAATTTTTTATCACCACCTCCGCCCAACACATAAAAATCAACTACTTGACTTTAACTCCACCTGCCCATCTAACACAATTTACCATTTCCTCTAGGACAAACACCTCACTATCCTTAACTTGAATGATTTGTTTTTCTGTAAGTAATTCATTAGTCAGTAAGAGAAACAAAATCCCTCTTTCAATACCATATTAACCTCCTAATTAAGGGCATGAGAACATAACTACAAAACAAGTCAAATAATAAAAATGCATAATAGCATTTTTCTTTCAAAACAATGAAATCTGAAGTTACCTGGAGGTGACTGTAGTATCTACACAGATAAAGCAGGAGGAAAAGAGCACATGGACTTTTAAAATCAACTTTCAGAAATCTCTTGATTTAAAAGCACAGTGAATAAATACCCTCAGAGCTCAAGTTCTGATGAGACCATCATTCACATCGTTTCATTCTCAAGAAATCTAAAATTTACTTTGTGGGGTAGGTCTGTTCAGGATTAAGAACACCATAGAGAAATATACTGAAACTGCCTCAAATGGAGACTTCTGCCATGAATCAAATCAATAATTTTAGCTTTTAATAAAACTAATTACCTATCAATGCTCCCTCAAATAGGACCAAGCATTTTTTAAAAAGTCTGTTGTGGGGGGAAAAAACAACAGGGCTTTTTCCCTCCTACTAGCTTTGGAAATTGAAATTAACATTGTTTTACTAAAAAATTATTTAATCATGAAACATGTTGAGTTAATTTTAATTTATATTAGTTGATTTGAAAAACAGTCTTGCTCTTTCAAAATTTCAATCTTCTGGATTATATACCTGGATATACTAATATAGTTTCTGTAAGAACAGGAATATCTGGTATAGGCAGTAAGACATTATATATGATTATATATCACATAAATACATATGTATTACAGTAAAAGCAAAATTTGAGGAAAGGTTATTCTGTGGAAGAATATTATAGGAGATGGGCCACAGAAGGGATCAAGATGGTTCTTCTGGAAAAGAAAAAAATATTTCAATCCAGATAAATTGAAGATTATTGGGAGACAGTGGCTCTGGAAAGTGGTGACATTGTGTTATTATATTTAAACACTGGGTCCTCACGGGTAGAGAGGAGGCAAAGAAATCAGAATAAACATACAGACAGAGGGATACACTGTTTAGTTTTCTTCCCTTCCTGTTTTATGTATCATATGTAAACAAGAAGAGACAATAATTTTAAATAGCTCATTCTTTTAAAGGGACAAATGAATAGGTTCTTTAAACAAAATGCATTCCCATAAACATGTAGTTATCTAAATTTATAATTGTGATGTATTTACTGAGATGCATGTGATACTAAAGTTTCTTCCATTACTCAATGATTCTTATTTGCAGAGCAGAACTAATTAGCATTATTTACCTTTTAAAACAATGCACATATAAATAACTAGATTTTTTCATTTTAACAGTACGGATTCATGAAACACTGTCAAAAAAACAACCCAATGTTAAAAATACCATAAGATCATGTCTTACTTTTACAGTTTCTACATCTCCGGCCTTTGCAGCTTCCAGCAACTGTCTGTCTGCCTCTGAATTACCTAATGGGATACCCTCTAAAAAAAAAAAAGAAAGAAAGAGAAGAAAGAGTGATAAACTTCTATTTGGAAGATGGGACCAAGTTTTAAGGGAGGCATCTTATGAGAGTCAAGTTCTTTTTACAGTTTGATGGCAATTATGCAGGAAATCTCCATAGTAGTACGGGAAAAGCAGTATAAACTTTTTTGAAACATCACATATGTAAAATGTATATAGGTATGAATAATAACTATAAAATGAGATTTAAGCAATATAATGGAATATAAAATAGATAACAAAAGATTATAATGAAGTCAGTGACTGGTGGTAAAGTATTAAATAAGGAGAGCAACAGCTAGACATCTAACCATGGTTCTGCCATTGACTAGCTATCTGAATTGGAACAAGTCACTTGACCTTTCTGGGCCTCAGATTGTTCCAGTTCTACAAAGAAAGATGTTGGATTAGAAACAAGTGAAGTTATTTTCAGGTCTGAAACTCTATGTTTTATAGCTCATTTTAAATCTCGATAAGAAAGGAAGAAAACATATACCTTGTATCTTAGAACAAATAAACTTCAGATTGGTTAAAGATGCTATGTATGAAAAATTAAACCTTAAAAGTATTTTTAAAAAATAGGTGAATATTTATCTTGAAATAGAAAATCATCCTAAAGCAGTACATCAAAGGCAAGGCCAAAACTGATTTTGAAAAATATCTGTCAGACAACAATATAGCACTAAACAAATTACAGGCAAAGAACAAAACTGGAAAAATATTGCAGCATATACCTCAGTAATGCAAATTAAAATGAGATACTGGACTTTCCTTTCATCCATTAGTGGACAAAGGGCAAATGAAGGAGTTACACTGTCAATATTTCTATAATTTGCATTTTAAAAAGCACCTATTATTTCTGTAATACAAACATACACACACACACTCACCCAAGGAAATTATAAAGAATTATAATATGTGGGGCTGACAAGGAAAACAGGTCCTGTCATACACTATTAATAGGAATGTAAAATGGTACATAACAGCCTTTCTAGGAGATGATTTAACAATTATGTTAACCTTGACTCGGAAACTCCACTTTAAGAAACTCGTTGGAAAGGTAATGTATATAGCGTGTAGCATAAAATCAGGAAGACTGTAACTGTCCATCACTAGGTTACTGAACAGAACTAATGCTATTACCCTCAATTCTGACACTGAAACAAATGCATGGTAAATGGGAAAGTAAAGGCAATTTTGAGAGCAGTCTTGCAGTTCAGAATTTTAGAAGTTCCCAGGAGATCTTATTAATCTGCCTTCATCTATTCAAGCAGCATTTTTCTCAAAATGTGGTTTCTAAACCACAGGCATAAGGATTATCAAGGGGGACTATTGAACGTATGAAATGCTTGGTCTGTTACATTTCTTCTCATTTGAGCTTTGAGGTGTCAAAGACATTCTATTAATTTCTAGTAAAATACAGAGATGTAGGCAAAGACACTTGGAAATTATGGGACCAGATTTATTTATTTTTAATTGGAAGGGACCAGATTTCTAGACTGAAATGTTTAACCTACACAAAATGTGTAGATATTGAATATAAATTGATTTGATTTTAAAATGCAATGAATATCAGTGTATTCAAACATAAGTCAAATAGTTGGTTACCTTGTACAGATTCTATATGCCTTATATGAAGGATCTAGAAAAGAGTGAAGAGGCAGGACTGGTCCCTAGAGTATTATTTATAGTTCTGGTTGCTCTACTAGGAGATATCTACTGTTTTCAGTTTTCCTCTCTTTAAGAAGAAATAGCAACTATTGCATCTCACTCCTAAAACCTTTCTAGATAAAAACTTAAGAGCCAGCTATTTACTCAGCAAAGATCAATAGCAAATGCTACTGGGAAAAACTTATTAAAGACTTGACTTAACATGTTGGCGTTGACTACAATGAGTTGATCAAGAAGAAATAACAGCCAATAATTTTGAAAAATTTTCTTTTTACTACCAACTCTTACATGATATATGAAAAAAATTTAAAAGTTAATTGAAAAATAATTTCATCGAAGTATTCAATACCTTGAAGAAGTTGCTGCACATTTTCATTTCCCATCTGTAAGGCAGTAAAGCCCTGAAGGGATATAATGTTAGGATCACACCCATAGCTCAGGAGTAAGCGGCAGGTTTGCAGATGACCACAATGTGCAGCTCTGTGCAGAGAAGTCTGACCGAGATTATCCAGAGCATTAACCTTAACAATCAGAAAAAATGGAAATTAGCCTGCAGTACAAAATTTAAAATGCTCTAATTATGGGTTCAGGTTCAACACTTGTTATTAACTTAAAAATGCTCAGGTATTCTCTTATAAAGACTAGTTTCCAGTGTCAAAGAAAGTATTTTCTCTCAAATTTAGAGTACAAATTCACCAATTCATGAAGGCTGACATCAGGAGACCCAATTTTGGATTAAAAGTTTAAGAAGTTGAATAATAGCTGTGTTTAGCATTAAAGCACTCATAGATTCATCACATTTATAGACATTGCCTAGAAAGTCTAATGCATGTATTTTTAAGGATCACTGAGGTGCAGAAATGTGGAGACTAACCCCAAGATAACGTAACAAAGTCAGACACTAAATTAGCATTAAAATACTTATTTCTATTGATTTAATCTTCTATCTTGTTTATCATTTAAAATACAATCTGTACAAAGGCAAAGACACTACAGTATATTCACACAATGGAATACTTCTCAGCAATAAAAAGAATTATTGTTACTGCTGAATCTCCAAAACATTAACCTGAGTGGAAAAAAGTTTGACACAAAAGTCAATGACTACTGTACAATCCCATGGACATAAAGGTCCAAAGTGGCAAATTAATCTACTGTAGAAAAAATCAAAATGGTTGTTGCCTCTAGGCAAGGAGACTGCCCTGGATGGGACACTGTCTCTGCCATGTGGTCATGTTCTCCATCTTCAAGAGTTTTGGTTACACAGGTGTTTGCATTAGGCAAAATTCAGTAAATGTACATTTAAGAGCTGTATATTTCATTGTATGTAAATTCCACATCCAAAGAAAAACTGTGAACAAATACTGACCTCTAGTTGATGCCTATTAAAAGAATTTAGGGAGATGTATATAGTAACTTGCAAATTACTTTGAAGTGTGTAAAAAAATATAAGATACCAGTAAGAGGGGAAAATTGATGGATATGTAAGAAAACAATATGGTAAAAAGCTAGCGGTAGAATTTATATGGTGAGTATATAGTTATACTCTGTAAAATTCTCTCAACTTGGCTGTATTTTTGAAAATTTTCATAGTAATAATAAAAAAAATCATCTGTAAGACCCCTTCTATCTCATTCCCAACCCAGCAACTCCCTCCCCTGCCACCCTGGAAAATAATTCTTCAAAACATAACTGAAAAATAAAATTCCTCAGTAATCAGTTATGTGACCACTAGTGTGTTTTGAGACACTATCCAATTCACATTCATGGAGCTGGAGAACATCTGAACAGGATTATATAGTAAGACTTTCTCAATAATTTAAAAAGTAACCTACAAAAAGCTAGTCTCCATGCTTACAGAATCAGAAAAATCAACTTAAAATGCTCAGAGCAACTAATCTATTTCTTCATGAACTCACATTCACTGAAATGTGAACTATATCCACTTGAAAACTTTATTAGGGTGCCATTCTGTGTCAATATTAGGGTGACCAACTTGTCCGAGTTTGACTGGGATACTTCTGGTTTTAGCACTTAAAAGTCTTGTGTTCCCAGAAATCCCTCAATTTGGGGATTAGGATGGTTGGTCACCCTAGCCAAGACTGTTTCACTGAGTTACACAACTCAAGTTTAATATGCATCCAGATAGTCTTCAAGTAACACACCACATGTAAGAAAAGAAGCAATCAACAAAAAGTTATAGAACAGACAGACAAATGAGATATGCCAAGCAGTCAAGCAGAAATAAACTTTATTTTTTTAATACTTTACAACAGGAAAGATTGAAATTATACATTATCAAGAATTCCCCCAAATAAGAGAGAAATTAGGGCACTGAGAGGCAACATAAAAAAATACTTGCAGAATCTGAAGTGGTTCCTTGAGTGGAAACCCAAGAAAGAACAGCTTAGAAAATCATTCTGCAAAGTTTACTTAGAGAAGAGCCTTAGGGGCCCCCAACGGGTAAAGGGATCTCTATTTCTTTCTTCTTCCTTTATCAGAGCAGCTCAATCTACTATACCATATATTTCTACCAAGATTTTGTTTGAAGAAGACAAGGATCTCTGGCTAAGAAAACTGTGAAAACTGTTGAATTAAATGACTGTTATCTCTTCCAATCTGGGATGCTGTGTGTATTGTTTATCGAGAAATTTTTTTTTAAGTTCCTGGGTAAGAAATGATGACTTTCAGCCTTTATGAAAACCTAACTATTCCATGAATAAAATGCTTATTTTCTTTAAGTCTACTTGACTTTTTTTGGAGGTATAGCTGATATATGATATTATCTAAGCTTACAGTGTCCAACACAGTGAAATCAACTTGACTTTAAACTTAAGTATACCATTTCTATAAACAGAAAAACAATATTCTCCTAATAAAAAGTATAACTCTTATAAAGAAAACATTTCTCTCCTGAATGCTCTGGAATGGAATGACTTTTGTGATTGATTTTTTAAAAAATGCTTTTTGTACAAGTGCCAACTACAGAACAGCAGCTTCACAATGTGAGGAGCTATCTTTTTAGTCAACTTATTTAAATAATTTATTTCCCTCTGTTCCATGTTCTCTGGCAGAAATAACAGAGGGTAAGAGAGACTGTGGCTGGGGTAAATAACAGGAGTTATCATGGTAAGCAAGGAACAGAAGACACCAGAAGAGAATTCCAGAATAAATATGTCTGACTAGGGATACTCTTAAGAGTGTACTGTTAGAAAAAGAAGAATAACTTGACCAGTGGGGTGTGGTTAACAGGAAGAGTGAAAGGAGGATATACAGGAATAATGTTTCTTTGAGTAAATCCACAGATTTTCTAGCAAAAAGATACAGAAAAAGTATCTGCAGAACTATTTTGAGGGAAAAACTAATACTTAGGAGAGAGTAAATAGAAATCAAGCATTTCATCGATAAAATCAGAAACAACTCACTGGATTACCAAAAATTACCAAAAATGAAGTATACCTTTGCTTCATGTTTCACCACTACTTCGACAACATCGTTATGAGCTTTCTCAGAAGCCACGTGCAGAGGAGTCAAGAATCTTAAAGAGAAAAAGTCAGCCAGACAATGAATGTATTTTCCAGAAAACAAAAGAGTCAATAATTTTTAATTATTAAAAGCAAACTTACTCTTTAGTCTTTTCATTGATGTTGGCTCCTTTTCTTAGCAACAGTTCACATATTTGCTTTCTTTTGGGATATGGAGATGCAGCAGCACAATGCTAGATAATTTAAATTGCAGCATTAATCACCTATATAACTGATTTTTAAGAATGTTCGTGTTTCCAACCAAAAATTATCAAGATGTTAGTTATTTCATGTCTTTGTTTCACTTTTGACTTAACTTTGCTCTTCAAAGACTTTCTATTGGATATAATGTGCAATGATTACCAAATTCTGACAGGGCCTGAAAATCCTATTTACCAGGTGATATGTTATTAAATATTTTGATCAAGCTTTATAGCTGCCCTACATCTCTGCAAAAGCTACCACTGCTGTGATGAAAACCTTAAACTGTGATCAATAGTCCTTTCAAAAACTGTTCCCAAAGAGCATGGTGTTTATGTTATTTTTTAAAGGTTAATAAAACACTCCAAAGGTCAGGATTTCTTTAATGAAGAAATAGCACAGCGTTTGTCAGCTCTGGATTCTGCTTGGTAGAAACACTGATGGGATAGCTGACAAACTAGGTGGTATTTCCTTCTTTCTCAATGAGTTGCTCCAGCAGAATAAGGACCTTGGATTACCTGTTTGGTTAAATTGGTGGTAGAAACTGATCCAGTCTGAGCTGGAGGCTTCAGGATCAGGATCTATGTTTATGATGCATCAAGGAGGAAGGGAGACAGGAGGTAGGGATTCACCAATCATAAACCCAGTAAAACTCTCTTGGTCATGTCCCAGATCTTTATCTCCCCAAAATCCAGGATTATACTCATACACAACAGGTGTTCAATAAATGTCAGTGAGTGAATGACTTAATCAATGTATGAACGTTAAATTAAAACTAAAGCCTGAGAATTCATGGAATAAAATTTCTGGGTAACTGTCAAGGTAACTTGCACATACATCTAAACACAGTATACATGAATGTGTCTGATTTTAACTTGTTGCTAATTATAAAGCTTATCTGATCTTCATGGCTTTGCTTCAGATTCATTCTGATACTGTTGCTGTCACCAAACTCATTCCTTTGCCCTTAATAAAATCATTTCTAATTGGTGAATACAGCTCTTTTGGTATGTTTTGAATAATCATCCCAGGACATCTATCAGGATGGCACAGGGAATGGAAAATAATTTATATTCAAGAATTCTTGAGCTTATCCATTTCAAATCGCACCCTTTTCTCTTCTGCCCCATCCTTTTACCGGCAGGGCCTGGGACCTCGAAACTCAGAAGACACTGCCTCTGCAATACAATGTCTACCAACAGTTAATTTCTTGTATTCTAAGGCTAATCACAGTTTAATAGTAGAACACCTAAGGGGAATAGTAGAATATTTAAGGGGAATAGTAGAACACTTAAGGGGAATAGTAGAACACTTAAGGGGAAACAAGATGTAGAATTAATTCTTCAGACTGGAAAACTTCCCATGTCAGTTTTTCCAATTTTCCCTCTACCATCTTGATGCTGTTATGATTTAAATTTTGCACTGGCATTTCTTATCAGTCTGCAACTATGCTGTGTTTTGTTTTTTTTTTTAACATGGATTTTTTTTGGTAGAGTAGCAAAAAGGCCTAAAATGCTTTATAGATAGGTTCCTACATAAACTTCATGTCCTATATCATGGCATAAGGATGAACATTAGCCATAAAAGTTAAGGAAGGCTACAATTAAATCTTCCCCAAAGACATTAATTTACTTATTGTCACCTTCCTTCACTGAAAATACATTCTGCGACTCACAAAGCTTTGCTCCTTTTAAATTTCTACTTCTAAGGTAGCCTCTGATTACCACATTCTCCTTCTGATCTTCTAACACTTATCTTCAGTCACTTCCATTTTTTTCTTACTGCTTTTCCATATACCGCTCAGCTCTCATCTACTCTGTTACAGAACCACAAAGCTGACATTACCTCCAACAGGGAAACTGCCTCTACTCACACAGATACTTTATTCAAAAGTATAAAGGGGACATATACAGACTTAGAGCTAATTTCGAAAAAAAAAAAAAAAAAATTACAATAACAAAAGGAAAACCAGGTGGTTTTTATCTTGATGGCAAGATTAAGTTTTCAGTGAGTTCCAAATTTTCAATCATAAACACTTATGCTTTTTATAATAAAAAAAAGCAAATGATTTTAATAGAAAAGTCACATATAATATATGCCAGTATATGATAAAATTTTTGTCTAGAAGGATGCACAAATGAACAACAGTATTGACTTTTGAGGGGATGAGGTTGTCTGTTTTTCTGTATTGTTTGAAATATTTTCTTTATATATCCAGAGGCACTAATTGTTAAAAAGCACAGATTTTTAGAACAATACTATTATTAAAAGTAGGATATTACGTCAGTTATCCAGTATCACCAAAAGAGGCAGGGCATTATGATTAACTTAGAATGTTTTTGGTTATTTCATTTTAAAGACTTAAATCTGAAACATTACCAATGCTGTTTCATGTGTTTGAGGATGCTTAAAGTTCACCATTTCCAGAGAGAGATGTTTTTTGATTCGTGTAACATCAGCTTCCCGTGCAGCCTGAAGCAAGGAGTGGCCCTTAAATTCATCTAGATGAAGAAGAAGCATTTAAATTGGCATAAGAATTATCAAACTTATGGATGGAACTTACCTTGTAAAAGAGACATAGTATTTTTCTTGAACTTATTTTCAAAATTATCTACCAAAGTAGCCAGACTGAAGCTCAAAAGAGTCTCCAAATATAACTCTTGCAAAGGGAGATAGTGGTACTCCAGTGCCCCATGGTTATGACTCAATTCATTCCCATGAGAATACAACATGGCCAATTCAAAGCCTATTTTGGTCTGGTATACGGATTATTGCAATATATTCCCAGAGTAGAGTTGTGAGAATTTTCCAAATGTATAGAATTTTTCTCAGTAAAGAAATAATTGAAAAGGTGATCTTGTCCCCATATTAACATTATAACAATAGCAGATGGCTATGCTCACACACTGGGGATTAGACAAGCTAGATATTTCTAAGAGCCACTTAGAAAGGAGGCATTTTCTCAAGATTCCTCTTTTATTCATCAGTCTTGTGAAACCACCCATTATCCTTTATTATTCCAGAATAATTCCAGCTTAACACAAGTTTCCTATTCATGTATAGTAATATATACCTGAATTAGGTGGCTATTTCTCACTACTATCTCTACCTCATTTATAGACAGAAAAGCACAGAATTGTCCAGCGACCAAAGAATACTAGATGGTACATTCTGGGGACTATGTTTACAAGACAGAAATCCTACAAGTAACACCTAAAAACTTCATGACAAAAAAAGAAAAAGGAAAAAAAAAAAAAAAAACAACAAAACTTCATGACAGATAACTAGAAAGTCACATCAAAGATAGGAACAAAACTCAAATTCTTTCTTTCCAAAAGCCTATCATCTGTAAGACTAACACAAAAAGCATTTGCCTTGAAAAAAGCAAATACAAATACATTTTCCTTTCATAGCATCTTAAGAGTAAATGATTAAATATGCTAGTATGAACGATACCCATGGCTAAGGAAAATAGCCTATGATTTTAAAATCTCCCCCCCCAACAAAAAAAACCAAGAAATAAATAAAAAATTTTAGGTTACTGGTATAAGAGTTTAGCTGAACATTCATCATTTTATACTTACATGCTAACCTTTCTTTTAACTGTGGTGTGGGAGCCAAGTCTATAGCACTTTTATTGTGACAATTCAGCAGTGTTGGATCTGCGCCATAACTCAGGAGAAGAGAACACACTTCAACCCTGTTCTTGGAAGCAGCCTCATGGAGAGGAGTGAACTGCCACAAGTCCATTGCATTTACGCAGGCACCATGCTGGTGGTGGGGTGGGTAAAGCATACATTTAGTGCTCAACTTTTAAGAGAACTTAGAATATTAGTACTGTGTAATTTACATCATGCAAGCTTAAAAAGGCTATGTCCCCAAAGGTTAACTCTTCAAACCAGTTCCTTCAGAAAGAGAATACATTTCTCCCCCACAGAAAGAGAGTCACTAGTTGCTAAGCCTACCCACAAATGCCTATTTAACTTTTATTGTTAAAAAAGTTACAAATCAAACTTCAGATTTAATAAGAACTGTTTTTTCCTTTTCTGAGATATGATTTATATATGGCAAACTACATAGTTCTTAAGTATACAGTTTGATGAGTTTTGCCAAATGTATATATCCATGAGACCATTGGGCTTCTCTCGGGGCTCAGCTGGTAAAGAATCCACATGCAAAGTGGGAGACCTGCAATCTATCTGATGCTTCATTCTTATCCACAATAACATTCCAAATATTCTGTTGAATTTGATTCAGTTTTACAATAAGCAAAAGCATTACTATTAAATGTATAATATTATGGTCACATTTATAAAGGCTCATGGACCATTTAGAGTATCTAATTATTATAATCAAGTTGTTTCTGTGGGAAAATATATTTAGTGGTAGCACAAGCCCAAGTGTAAGCATAGAGGTGTTGGAAACAAAGGTCCTTCCCATGACAGCTGCTGACAGAATGAGGAAAAGTTTCAAAGGCAGAATGGGTGCAGAGAGAAGACTAAAGAACGTGGTCAAATACGTATGTAGAGATTAGGGGACAAAAAGAAATGGGTGTGAGTAACATCCTTGAATCCACTCTCAAAAAGAATATGTAGCCTCTATTCTCATCCAACAGGGAGCAAAACAAGTTTTTTGCCAGTTTCAGGAACCTGTCCGTTAAACAACAGCCGCCCATCGTTCTGCCCAGTATACTGGAAGAAGTGAAGCTTACCAAGTAAGCCTGTTTCAACCCACCTAGGCAGGTCTTGCAAATCTAACTAGTGGTTGTAATAATATATGGTTCATTAAAAACTGCTTTTTGATATTTTCAAGAACTTTGAACTACACTTTTAGCTACAAATTAAAGAATCACTTAGTCTGACATTCACAAAACAGGAAAGCTACTTCATATAAAAAAATCTTACAGTGTTTTAAAAATCTCAAAGCAGTCAGATGACATATCAATAATCCACATTTTATAATGATTATAAATACTTCTTCTTTATCTACCAAGCACTAAAAACACAAAGAAAAACATGCACACCGTAAGAAAAGTACACAAGAACTAACCTTGACCAGAAGTTCAGTTACTTCATAATGACCGTAGGAACAGGCATTGTGCAGGGGCACCAGATCACTACAATATGAGAAGGGGAAAACCCTGCGTTATTACAGATTCCCTATGCTTTAGCTTATATACTTAAATTTAAATAGCAAGTGGCTTATGTCACCTTCTGGGCTTCCCTTGTGGTTCAGCTGGTCAAGAATCTGCCTGCATTGCGGAAGACCTGGGTTCGATCCCTGGGCTGGGAAGATCCCCTGGAGAAGGGAAAGGCTACCAACTCCAGTATTCTGGCTTACAGAATTCCAAGGACTGTATAGTCCATGGGATCGCAAAGAGTAGGACATGACTGAGAGACTTTCACTGACTTCTGTATCTTTTCCAAACTCAGAGATCAAACACTGGATCTTCTTTGAAACTTTTTCTTTTAAAGATTCTGTAAGGTAAACTGCTATATTCCTTAACATAAACCCAATTCTTTCATGATGGCAATAGTGGAAGAATTTTCTGAACAGGAAAGTACAATAGAACCTTAAAATCCTGACGTATCTTTAAGTTGCTCCACCTTGGGAATCACTCACTAATAACCACAGACATCACCATGATGTCCTTTGTTAAGAGATGGCCACTCATGGTTAAGTCTTTCTGATTCTATCAGAACTCTCCGTCAAGTCTCACGGCTTTCCTCACCACTTTGATTATATAATTTCTTACCTGAGCCCTATCTACTAGCTAACGCCACCTGAGCTTCCATCATCATCTCATAAAACCAAGACTTCTAGAAGTGAACTCAATGGTTTCCCCCACAAATAACTTTTCTGGATTTCAGTATGTGTACCATTGGGTCTCATGCACTGGGCTTCAGAATATGAAATGTAATAGTCTCATTTATTTATCTCATCACAACCAGATAGTCAACAAATCTTACACATTCTTACACTGTAATACCTCCTGCATCTCTGCCTTCTTTGCATTTCCATTTCCTCCACCACCACTATTGCAGATCTCATTATGCCTGAACCCCTACAATGCTCACTCTCATGTTCTTTTTCCTGTAGTCTCCTTCTTCAATCTATTCAACACACTGCTGCCAGAGTGCATTTCTCAAAACTCCTCTTTTAGAAGAATCATTCCCCTTGCTTAAGATCCTTCAATTCTCTTGCACAGACTGATGTTTCCTAAACTCTCTGCTTTCTTAAACTGAGTCCAGGTCAAGTATCACCTCCCACGGAAAGATTTCTCAACCACTGCACCCAGCACTGAGCATTCTCTCCTAAAATCTCCTGTAAGTACTAGCCCTTTCTATTTATCACCTCACACTTACTAGAGAACTTATATTGTTAGGTGTCTTTTCATGCCTCCTAAAACATAGTATAAGCCCTATGGGTGGTGGCCTTAATGGTTTATAATTCCCTGTTCTCTCAGAGCAATCTGCATATTACAAAAGCTCAATAAATGTTTTAAGTTGTTTAGTAAAAAATATAATTCTTACAAGATTATTACAGAGATTATCATGAGGACAGAAACATTTTAAAAATTCTCATTTTTGTTCAAATGCTTAATTTACCCTTTATCTTTAGCATGAACATCAGCTCCATGTTGCAACAACAGCTGTACAATCTTTACTCTGTTGTAACCTGCTGCCAAATGCAATGGAGTTGACTGAAATATTAAACAGACAAATCAGTGAAATTCAATAGCTAAAAAATATACATAAAAAGGTAAAAATCCAAGTATAAACCCAGAAATTGAGAAAAAACTTTATAACTTACTTTGCAACTTATTACTATCTAAGTGATAGTAATAATTTGGTTTTACAAAATCCAGCATATATACCAAAGCATAAAGTACAAGTTTATAAGTTCACTATTGCAAACAGAAAGCTAACTAAACATTTATTATTAACAAAGTTTTACTGAGATTAAGAATTAACCAAATTAAAGGGAGCATTTTCAGCAAATGTTTTAAGTTAAAAGATAAACACAATTTTATGTTACACAAAACTTAGTTGCAAAAGGAAGTACCTTTCTGCCATCACTTGCATGGCAGTTGACATTTAATGGTGTAAGCAGAGCCATCATTTTTTCCTCATTGCCACTCCTAGCATACAAAAAAACGTATTAGCAATTTGTTTTCTCATCAGATCCTATTTGGAGACATGTATGTGACCATTAAAAATTCATTCTCTTTTGGAGTTTGCTTATTGTAAAATAAAATAATTAAAATTATATGGTAAAATATTTGTGGTACATATTGATAACACACCTGGCACTTTCCAAGAGTTCATCCTTCTTATATTCACCTGTGAATCAGAAGAAGAACAGAAATTTTTAAAAAAATTACAAAAGTAGTATCAGTTTTATGCATAAAGATGCTCATTGACCTATGTTTAAAGTACGAAAATTTGGAAATAAATTCCAGTAAATGGAAAATGGTTAATCAATAGAATACACTGCAGTTTAAAAATATTTATACGAGGAACATGGAATACCTTTGCTATGAAAGTGAAGAAAAAAGATTCAATGTTATATAATGAAACATGACCACAGCTATATGAAAACAATATACACAGTAAGAGCAAAGCCAAGAAGGAAAAATCAAAATTTTAGCAAAGTGTGTCTTAGGGCATTGGCTGTGGGTGAAAGTTTCCTTTTCTTTTTACCCCTCAAATTTCCTGAAACCAGTATTATTTGTTTAACAGACAAAATGCCTCCACAACTTCATTCAAAATCAAAACAGAACAAAATCCATATAAAAATGTAACAGTATCACAGAAATTTATAAATAAAATCAGGACTAAATATAAACTGTTTATGCCTATAGCTTTTATATTTACCAATGAAAACAAGCAAAAACTTTAAAATCAATATAATTTAACATAATAGTGTTTATTTATTCACTTAAACAAAACCCAAACTAGTGTCCACAATATGAATTGTATACTGATTGCTGTGCAAGGCTTTTCTTGTGTCCCCCCCTCCCCCCCAAAAAAAGGCAAATAGGGAATAGCATGGAACAGGGAAGGAAAAAATAAACATTGAATTGTCACTTCCAGTAACAGCTCACTTTTCCAGAACTTCTTGAGGGGACTAGTCTAAATTTTCTCAGTAATACCAAAGAAATATCACAAAGCCCAGGCACAGAAGCTTAGAGCAGAGCCCCTCGGGCTCTTGACTATTAGACATAATTTTAATGGTGATCACACAGTCAAAAAGGATCCAAAAAATAATATGGCAGCTGCTTCAGAGGAAATCTCTGTTAGGGGAGAAATGTGTGAAGTAGATGAAAAAAAGGTGAAAGTGTTAGTCCCTTTAGTTGTATCCAACTCTGCGACCCATGGACTGTAGCCCATCGGGCTCCTCTGTCCATGGAATTCTTCAGGCAAGAATACTGGGGTGGGTTGCTATTCCCTTCTCCAGATCTTCCTCACCCAGGAATCGAACCTGGGTCTCTGGCATTGCAGGCAGATTCTTTACCATCTGAGCCACCACGGAAGCCCATATTACTACCCAAAAAAGCTTGACAGTCTAAAATAAACCTAAACCAGGGGACGACCGTCTTAAATATCTTAACAGGTTCCCAGGACATTAATATGTCCCAGTAGAATACAATAATTGCCATTCTTCAAGGTTCTGAAATTGGTGAGCCCAGAATCTTGTTTGAAAAACCAGAGAATGGTTAGTAACACACAATTATATACCACCTCTGGCCCCAATAAATGTAGGAATCACAAAATTTAAAAGCTAATTTTTTTAAAAAAGCTTTATTTTTCTTAGACAAGAATCAAATGTCAACTATTCAGATACAGAAAATAGCTACTGAACTGACACTATTTTAAAAATCTAATTGAGATCATTAACTGCAAGACACTGAATGTCTATCTAGGAAGCTCATGAGTTACACTGTTCCCAGAATACCCAAAGAGAGCTTGCAGACTTACCAGTTAGCACTGCTTTGGCAGACGGGTCTGCTAAATCCAACGCTGTCCTTCCATCTGTATTTCGAATGGTTGGCTCAGCTCCATGTTGTAACAGCACTGCAAAACAGAAACACTATCTTTCAAAATGGTAATTCTGACAATAAGATTTTAGTAAATCATTTTCTCAAAAATTTTCCCACCAGGGAAGCCCTAAGACGTCTCAAAGTTATTTTAAGACTTTATATATCCCGATAGTAGATAAATGCAGTATTTTAAAGATAAAACTATATATAATATTCCATTATTTAATGTATTAAGACACATTAAATATCTGTCTGCTGAGTTTAATGTCAGATTCTTCTCTGTTAAACAAATGACCAAAGACAGATAAAGAATTAAAAGGCAAGTTTACCTGAAAGCTTGTTTTCTGTTTTCTCATACCAAATGAACACAGCTTAAGTCAGAAAGATTACTCATAATAATAAAAATGAAATTTCTAAAGCTATGAATAGCCCAAGAATAGGGATTTGTGGAATTTGAGAAAGAAGGAAGGAGGAAAAGGAGAAAGAGAGGCAGGAAGAGAGGAAGGGAGGGAGGGAAAGAGAAAATTACTCTGTAGGGTTAATGAACCCCCAATCAAAACTTGCCACATTGTAACTCAAAACACATTAAAAAGAGAAGAGTTGTACTATACTCTGTACATAATGTTATTTGATTATATAAAGATACTCCAGCACACTCTATAAAAAGAGCTGGTGAAAGACAGGCAAATACATGCAGAAAGGGAAGCTCAACTCCTGTTCATTCCACTGTACTCCTATCCCTAACAGTAATGTCCAACAGAAAAAAAAAGCGAGCCACATATGTAATTTAAAATTTTCTAGCATCCAGATAATAAACACAAAAAGAGGATAATTTTAACATGTCTTATTTAAGCCAATATACCCCAAGTATTGCTATTTCAATATGTACACTATATTGCAATCCATACAAAATTGAGGTAACTTTGTATCCTTTTTATTTATACAAAGTCTTTGAAATCTGGTATGTATTTTCCCCTTACAGTACCTCTCAATTTGAACTAGCCACATTACAAGATTTCAACTACCACACTGGACGTGTACGTGCGTGCTAAGTCACTCAGTCACGTCTGACTCTTCGCGACCCCATGGACTACAGCCCTCCAGGCTCCTCTGTCCATGGGATTCCCCAGGCAGGAATACCGGAGTGGGTTGCCACGCCCTCCTCCAGGGGATCCTTCCGACCCAGTGATGAAACCTGCATCTCTTACGTCTTCTGCACCGGCAAGCAGGTTCTTTACCACTAGTGCCACCTGGGAAGCCCACACTAGACAGTGCAGATATGTAACTATATCTGAAAAACTCTACATTATTAAAACTAATTATTAATAGGCCTCACGTAACAGGAAAGGATTCTGAGCAGAGGTCAGATAACACAAAAGATAAAAACAAACAAAAAGAGGTAACACACAGAAAAGGAGAACTGGACAGACGTTACCAAATCATCTTTTTCTTACCTTTATAAATTACCTAATTCAAACTAAGCTCATGACTTTCGTATAAAGTGATTTGAGGTTGGGTTGGAGGGGAGAGAGAACAAAATAGGTTCCCTAGACCTTTCCTAGTGCACAGAACTGGCTTTCTATCTGTCCCAAGGATTTAAAATGTCCCTTTTTTTGCATCAGGAAATAGAAGTAAGGTAGCAGAGTCCAAAATCTGACTCTTTAGGCTCAGAAAAGTCAATACTGGGTTAATGACTATTCTCAAATAAGCAGCCTTCTCACATGTAACTTTCTGTCAGTGATTAACCTGTTAGGCAAATCCTATTTCACTAAAGTATCCTACATGACTGACAATTTTTTCTCCAAACACTTCTTTACTTATGCTGCCATTTCTACTCTCCTACAGCCATCCTAGCTCATGCCTTCATCATTCTTCATTTGCGCTATTCTACAGCTTCCTAACTAGTCTCCCTAATGTCATGCATTCCACTCAGCCCTCTACCAAATCACCATTTCTAAATATACTGCTCTCATCACATTGTCCCATTGAAAGTTATCCATGATTCCACACTATCCACACAATAATATAAAGCTCCTTAACCTGGAATTCAAAGCTCCTTATAAAGTAGTCAATACATTTCCCTTTTCAACCTTTCTCCCCAGTACTTCCTAGGGAGACTCATAAAGGAGTGACTCAACTCCAGCCCATTCACTGCACTATTATCCTCTAACACTCTCTGTTCACTTCCACCAAGCCTTCATCCGGTTCTCTGTGGGTACTAGTCCCCAGAGAATTCACATTTCCAAACAAGAGAAATTCTGTACTACTCTATCATCTAAAAATTTTAAGCTCAGTACCACGTTCAAAAAGATACTCAGTGATTAGGTTAATCATTAAGTGTTCTAAAATATTTAAATTCAGTCTAACAAAATTTGATCACATTAACAAATAAATTCAATTTAGATTCAGAATAGTTACAAACTATTTCTGAAAAATTCTGGAATGTAAACAGTCTTACCGATGCAAACATCAATCTTTCCTTTAATTGCAGCTTCATGGAGAGGAGTATAATTCCAATTGTCACGAGCATTTGGGTCTGCACCATGTCGCAAAAGGAGATTGACCACTTCAGCATGACCAAAAGAGCATGCATTATGAAGAGGAATAAGGCCCCCATCATCACGTGCTTGGACATTTGCGCCATTCTGAAGCAAATATTCAACTACATCTTTCCGACCAAAACCTAGAAGAAAATAAATTATCCACATTTAAGTTCTCCAAAGAAAATATATCAAGATAGAAGCAGTAAGTACACGTCATGCTAAAGTGTTTTTGGATGCAAAACATTAACAGATACAAAAACTCATTGATGAAATACATCACTAATCTTAATGAGAAAACCAAAGGGTCTCTCTGACACATTATGTAGTACCATTACTAACTTCAGAAGAAGGTTATGTAATGAGTGATTGAAAGCCCGAAGTTCAAATGTTTCCCACTCTACAATAGCATTCCTAACTGCAAATAACTAGTTCTGCATATTTTGTATGCATACATTTTCAAGTATTCAAAATATATACTAACCAACTCTTGCTAGACTCCCTTTCCCACATCCCATCTCATAAAACGTTTCTACTGAATTGGGGGACCATAAGGAAGCACCAGAAAGTTTGTGCTGAAGACAGAGAGAGGTGATACTAGGCAAAAGTGTGACATGAGGTATCTCCGAAGGAGCGCCTACTCTGTCACTTGCACAACACAAGCAACTCTGCCTGGTAGGAGGACTCCTTTAATAAGCCATGTCCCGCAGTTCTGTTGCCACTGCCCGCGAACAAACAAACCCAAAAAAGTCTAACAACTCATTTATACTGGTTTACAGGTTTACTACCAATGAGTTTCAATCTCTTACTATTTTCATATAATAGCACCTAAAATCTTTTTACAATTAATTATTAAAGGAAAAGGACTTCAGATATATGTTAAAGCAGAAGGGAAGGTATATATAAGTATTGGGAGGGAGAGAGAGAAGACCTTTTCACTCATCTGAAATTTTACCAGAATATTCTTACAACCAAGACTGAATGCAGTCCTTCTAAGACCAAAATGGAGTTGAATGAGAAAGCAAAGACATATAATCTTTCCAAGGGGTACATGTGGGACTGGCCTGGCTGTAGCTGAGGAAGAGTTAGATGACTGAAGAGATTAACTGTTTGTTTTGTCTAAATATTGCTAAGCTCTATGTCAGACATGGGTATCTTTGATTCTCCCTATTCTCAATCTTTGATTCTCACTATCCTCAAAGAGCTTACAATTTACGATGTGAAAAAACAATCAGAACTAGTAATTTCAATATACTATAACTCATAAAAGAGGTATATATAAAAATATTACTAGCGCTCAAGGAAGAGACTATCTAAATTAGTGGAAAGCAGAGAACAGGAAGGACAATCCCAGAGAAGAGTCCAGTGATGACACCTGAGCTGAAGGCTTACATTAAAAATGAAGAGATCACTAGGAGAAAGAAGAGAGAAGAAAGGCGAGAAGAGAAGAGAGGTTAGGAAAAAAGAGGGAGTGGGAAGAAGTTAAACAAGGAAAGAGCACGGCGATTCAAGCAGAAGAAACAAAATGCACACAAGCTTGAAAGAGCAAATCATTCGCAGCAGGTAGGACACAGACTGCCCACGTAGGCAGAACTCAGAAAAGGAAGAATCTTTTAAGCCACAACCAAGGTGGTATCTGGATTTTGTCCTACAGATTATAGTGTTTCTCAAAGTGCTTTCAGGCAATAGACTTAAAGGAAATCTTTTTTTGCCTAGAAAAAAAACTGAGACATAATTAACATATAAAGTTATATTAGTTTCAGGTGTGTAACATAATGATATGATGTGTGTATACTGCATGCAAGCATGCATGCTAAGTCGCTTCAGTTGTGTCCGACTCTGTGCAACCCCATGGACAGCAGCCCACCAGGCTCCTCCGTCCACGGAATTCTCCAGGCAAGAGTACTGGAGTGGGATGCTATTTCCTTCTCCATGTATATACTGCAAAATGAACACAATAAATCTACTTAACCACATACAGGTATTTTTTCTTGTGATGAGAACTTTTAAGATCTACTCTCTTAGCAACTTTCAAATATATAACGCAGTATCACTGACTATAGTCTTCATGCTGTATATTATATCCCCAGGACTTAACTTCACATAGCTTAATACCTGGAAGTCCATCCATGCTATTGCAAATGGCGAGATATCATTTGTTTTTTCCAGCTTAATTATATTCCATCGTGTATACACACTGCAACTTCTTTATCCATTCATACCTTGACAGGCACTTAGGTTTTTCCCCATGTCTTAGCTTCTGTAAATAATGTTGCAATGGTACTATTTACAATAGCAAAGACATGGAAGCAACTTAAATGCCCATCAACAGAGGAATGGATAAGACAAATATCAAGTATCACTTCTATCTAAAACATGATATGATAGTGGAAGACAGAGGAGTCTGGAGTGCTACGTAGTTCACTGGGGTTGCAAAGAACTGGACACAACTTAGCGACTGAACAACAACAAAAATATGATACAAATGAACTTATTTACAAAACAGAACAGACTCACAAAGAAAACAACTTATGGTTACCAAAAGGGAATTGAGGGGATCAATAAATTAGGAGCTTGGGATTAGCAGATACAAACTAATGTTTATAAAATAGATAATTATCAGGGACCTATTGTATAGCACAGGGACTATATTCAATGTCTTGTAATAAATTATAATGGAAAAACAATATGAAAAAGAATTTATACACACACACAAAACCAAATCACTGTGAAGTACACCAGAAAGTAGCACACTATAAATTAACTATACTTCAATTTTAAAAAATAGGAAGAAAAAGAAAAAATGCTGCAGTGAATATGGAGGTGAATAAGCCTTTCTGAATTAAGACTTCCTAATGAAATCTTATATAAAATCCCAGTATGTGCCTTGTTTGCTGCAAAAATACCCAATGCCTGATACACAACTGGCACTCACAGAGTTGCAAATTAACTGAATTCAATTTAAAATAATACTATTCAGGCTAAATCTGCCTTCTTCTCCTTTACAAAGACCCAAATGAAATTATTCCTCTACTTCAGAGGCATCTCAAAGAAACAGTATGAAAAACACTGCTGTAAAATATGAATGGTCACTGAAGGACAAGCAAATTGCCTACTAATAAATATATTTTAAAACCTCGTTTTGCATCTGCCTTTTAAAAAAGCTAATAATATCCTACAAATCAATTCTGATAGCCACACATTTTATTGATTGCAAGTATCAAAATTACATTAGTCTTAGGGCATCAGAGGATGAGATGGCTGGATGGCATCACCAATGTAATGGACATGAACTTGGGCAAACTGGGAGACGGTGAGGGACAGGAAAGCCTGGCATGCTGCAGTCCATGGAGTCGCAGGGAATCAGACATGACTGAGCAACTGGACAAAAAAAAAACAATCAATTTTAAAACCAGTTCCTTTCTCATGAATCTTCTTTCAGATCTGCTGACATATTGAATGCAACACCTTGACGGCATCATCCTTTAGGGTTTTGAAGAGTTCTACTGAAATTCTGTCGCATCCATGAGCTTTATTAACAGCAGTGCTTCTTAAGGCCCACTTGACTACACTGTCCAGAATGTCTTGCTCCGGGTGGCTGACCACACCATCGTAGTAATCTGGGCCATTTAGATCTTTTTTGTGCAGTTCTTCTGTGTATTCTTTCCATCTCTTCTTGATCTCTTCGGCATCTAGTAGGTCTCTACCGTTTCTATCCTTTATTTTGCCCATCTTTGGGCAAAACGTTCCCTTGATATCTCCCATTTTCCTGAACAGATCTCTAGTCTTTCTTCTTCTGTTGTTTTCTTTTAGTTTTATACACTGTTCATTGAAGAAGGCCTTCTTGTCATTCCACGCTGTTCTTTGGAAATCTGTGTTGAGTTGGATATACCTTTCCCTTTCTCCCTTGTTTTTTTCCTCTTTTCTTCTTTCTTTAGCTATCTGAAGGCCTCCTCAGATAGCCACTTGGCCTTTTTGCTTATCTCTTTCTTTGGGATGGTTTTGTTTGCTGCCTTCTCTACAGCATTACGGATCTCCATCCATATAGTTCTTCAGGCACACTACTTACAAGTTCTAATCCCTTGAATCTATTCATCGCCTCCACTGCTGGAAGACCCAGTAGTGGCCACAGGATTGGAAAAGGTCAATCCTTATCCAAATTCCCCAAGAAGGGTAGTATCAAAGAATGCGCTCACTGTCAGACAATTGCACTCATCTCCCATGTTAGCAAGGTCATGCTTAAACTCTTGCATGCTAGGCTGCAGCATTATGCAAATGAAGAACTTCCAGATGTCCACACTGGGTTTACAAAAGGAAGAGGAACCAGAGATCAAATTGCCAACATTCACTGGATCACAGAGAAAGCTAGGGAATTTCCAGAAAAACATCTACCTCTATTTTTTTTTTTTCACTTTGTAGCATTTTATTTTATTTTTTTAATTTTTTCCATTTATTTTTATTAGTTGGAGGCTAATTACTTTACAACATTGCAGTGGTTTTTGTCATACATTAAAAATATGGAACGCTTCACGAATTTGCATGTCATCCTTGCGCATGGGCCATGCTAATCTTCTCTGTATCGTTCCAATTTTAGTACATGTGCTGCTGAAGTGAGCACCATCTACCTCTATTTCATCGACTACGCCAAAGCCTTTGACTGCGTGGATTGTAATAAACTGTGGAAAGCTCTTAAAGAGATGGGAATACCAGACCATCTCACCTGTCTCGTGAGAAACCTGTATGTGAGTCAAAAAGCAACAGTTAGAACCCTCTATGGAACAACCAACTGGTTCAAGATGGAAAAAGGAGTATGACAGAGCTGTCTGCTGTCACTGTTTTGTTTTGTTTTTTACATTTTATTTATTTTCATTTATTTTTATTAGTTGGAGGCTAACTACTTTACAATATTGTAGTGGTTTTTGCCATATATTGACATGAATCAGCCATGGATTTACATGCATTCCCCATCCTGAACCCCCCTCCCACCTCCCTCCCCATCCCATCACTCTGTTCAATCGATATGCTCTGTTTAATCAATATGCTGAACACATCATGGGAAACGCCAGGCTGGATGTGTTACAAGCTGGAATCAAGATAAGCAGGAGAAACATCAACAACCTCAGATATGTGGATGACAGCACTC